TTTTTTAACCACTCTTCTCCTCGCCCTCTCTCCACCCACCTTTCTCCTCCCTCACGTACAGTTTGGCCAGCCAATCACGGCCTTCCAGAACACGCAGTTCCAACTGGCAGACATGGCAACAGCAGTGGAGACATCTTCACCCTGTTGCTGTTGATGGTGGTGACTCCTCCTCTTCACTCCTCTTCACTCCTCCTCTTCACTCCTCCTCTTCACTCCTCCAATCCCCTTTCCCCCTCATTGTGCAGTTCGGCAAGCCAATCACGGCCTTTCAGAACACGCAGTTTCAACTGGCCGACATGGCAACAGCAGTGGAGGCATCTCGTCTGATGGTTCGCAGTGCTGCCACTGCCATTGATGTTAAAGCGCCCTGGGCCACCACCGCCGCTGCCATGGCCAAGAGGTGGGTGATGTTGTCCGTATATCGAGACACTCCAAAACGAGTACAGTGACATGGCAACAGCAGCGGAGGCATCTCGCCTGATGGTTCGCAGCGCTGCCATTGATGTGAAAGCACCCTGGGCCACCACCGCTGCTGCCATGGCCAAGAGGTGGGTGTGCTGTTCTCATAAAAGAGTCACCTTAAAACGAGTACTGTGAGATGGTAACAGCGATGGAGGCATCTCGCCTGATGGTTCGCAATTCTGCCACTGCCATTGATATCAACGCGACATGACTCACCATGGTGACTGCAACGAGAAAGAAGCGAGTAAAGTAGGGAGTCAGAAGGAGCGTCGTTATGAGACTTAGTCCCGTCCCCCACCCCTCCTGTCTCTTGGCCCCTTCACGTCTCCCTCTCTGCTTCCCCCAGGTTTGCAACTGACAACTGTTACCAGGTAGCCAATCAAGCGTTACAGATGCTCGGAGGTTATGGGTTTCTACAGGATTACCCTGTACGTTGCTTTTCTCCCCCACCCCTCTCTGCATGTGGGTGTGTTCTTACGCTCCTGTTACTGGGATATAACGTTTCCATATATATTCTTATGCATACACTTACACATACACACACACACGCACAAACCACACCCACACACACACACACACACACACACACACACACACACACGCACAAACCACACCCCCACACACACACACACACACAAACACACACACACACACACACACACACACACACACATGGTTGCGCATATGCACTCACAAGCTATGCATGTATCCAACACATCGTTACACTTGTGTCCAGGTGGAGCGATACTTGAGGGATCTTCGAGTGCACACCATTCTAGAGGGGACAAACGAGATAATGCGCCTCATCATAGCACGGCGCCTCTTACAGCCATGATATCGTCATGACATCGCTGTCGTTGTATATATTGCTTGATGTACTATGTGTTAAACCGTACTTGTCTCCTAGCATGTTTGTACATATGACACCCTTTCAGCCAATAGTGAAAATTAAGGGAATAGCACATAAATGCACAAATTATCATAAATTGTCCACCAACGCAATCTGGCTTGGCAAGTGATAACTTATGCACGCATTTACTTTGAAGGTATTGGGGGAGTGGAAGGCAAGGAAGTCTGCGATTGTATCATTACATACTAGTCCAGATGACCATATTCTAACCAAGCATAACATTTACTGCTCTAAAGAATACCTTCCATGTCTTAGCACCTTTGAAGCCAAAAACCACGGGATACCGATGGGATCAGGAAGGTGGGTCTCGCCTTCCTGATCCCGTCAGTTAGGGTTCGTTAAGCTCCGTCAGCCTGGTCAGCCCGTAAAAATGCTGCCGAGCCTCTCCTACCGTCCAAACCAGAAACCAATGTGGGGGCCTGGCGAACGCCCCCATTTCGAAACCAAATCGAACTGCTCGACGGCATATGGAAGCGGGGACGCAACTTCGTCCCCAGGCAAAATTCCCCCCCAAGCTATGCCATCGCCATCCCCCCTTTTTCAAAGGACAGCGATGGCACAGCGATTGCATTGCCGTTCAAAGCCCTTGGGGGGAAGGTGGGGATGGAGGTTCCCGATGCGGTTGCGTAATTTCGCTTTTCGGGAACAGAAGTTTCTCGAGTGGCATTACGCCCAAACCTCGGAGGTGGGTTCCGCCTCCGTTTCCGGATGCGGTCGCGATGCCGATGCCATCTTTTTCATTCAAAACTTAGATTTGCTGGCGAACAGCACCAACGTTTACTCGTATGCCGTCATTATTAAACTGGTGGAAACAAGAAATGCCTCGAACCGAGAAACGACTCGTACGACCCCTACACACCGCACGTGCTTCTTGAATTGAATGCATGGGTAGGAGGGCCGACAACAGCTCCTCCCGTTGGCCAAAGCTTCAGCTTTGAGGACACCGGATTGGAGGAGACCCCACCCCCACCTGCGTTTGTGGATTGCGATTGGAAATCAAACACCTCAGTCAGCTTGGTCATCAGTTGCCATAGCAAGTCAACAGCCGACAGCTGTACGACTCGCTTTGCTTTCTAGCCGCCCTGCATTGCATGCTTTTATTGCATGTGAAATCGCTTTCTTTATGGGTGGTGCGGTGGAGGGGTGGACACAATCTGGACTGAATTTTGATAAGGCGGTGTGTTTGCCTTACCAGAACCTGACCGAGACGTTTGAGCAGGTGGTGAATTTTGCATTCCGCAAGTGGAAGAGGAACCTCACCCCCCCAGTCCAACATTTGGAAAGTATATGCTCCGCTTTCCGAATACAATCCGGTGACCTGGTGTGGTGTGGTGTGCTTGCCTTGCTGCCAGGGTAACGGGGGAGGGATGCGAGGGATGGCGGTGGGCTGGGCAGCTGGGCTCTCTCTCTCTCTCTCTCTCTCTCTCTCTCTCTCTCTCTCTCTCTCTCTCTCTCTCTCTCTCTCTCTCTCTCTCTCTCTCTCTCTCTCTCTCTCTCTCTCTCTCTCTCTCTCTCTCTCTCTCTCTCTCTCTCTCTCTCTCTCTCTCTCTCTCTCTCTCTCTCTCTCTCTCTCTCTCTCTCTCTCTCTCTCTCTCTCTCTCTCTCTCTCTCTCTCTCTCTCTCTCTCTCTCTCTCTCTCTCTCTCTCTCTCTCTCTCTCTCTCTCTCTCTCTCTCTCTCTCTCTCTCTCTCTCTCTCTCTCTCTCTCTCTCTCTCTCTCTCTCGTTTACGAGGAGGAGCCTCGTGGGTTTGTTGTACGGTACTACGCGAAACGAGGAATGGCGGTGGTGCAGCATTCGGTAACTTTTTGAAAGCTACCATTGGGATTTGATCGACCTAGGAACAGCTACAAGTCGGAGCGTTCGCAATCATCCCATGGAGTAACGAAGAGGCAGAGTGCATATGCGGCTGTGCTGCACTGGCTCGTGCTCTGGCATGATGGTCCTAAGAATGCTGAGACAGCATATCCCGCCCCTTGTCGGATAAAGCATGTTGCTGCCTCATTCCAGAATCTAAATCGGTGTGGTGTGGTGGACCCATGATTTTATATTTCGCAGCACTTTAGCGCAAAATGCCCGCATCCGCCGCTGCGAGCGCGACAGCCGCCGCCATGGCTACACGATCTGATTTAGGAGCTAGCAACAGGAATGTGTGGTAAGAGACGCACCACTATCCTCCGGCGATTTTGCTGAGCTGGGAGTCTCACTAGTGCATCCCAGCTCTGCTGGGGAACCGACATCGTGAGAAATCTCTGGAACACATGCTTTTATCAGTAATATCGTACAAGAAAGTCAACAAGCCTTGTTTTATCGAGTCTCTTACATCAGCTCCTCACATTAACTCGTTACCTCCATCACCACGGGACCAGACTGGCTTGTAACCGCCGAGTAAGATTTGAAGGATTATGTTTTTGAGGCCTCCACGTCCCTCGTCTGTTGAGGCGCCTCAGGAACAGTCCTAGTTTCCACTCTGTAGCTCGTTACTTGTAATAAGTCGTTCCACAGATTTTGAATTCGGCCGTCCACGGGGAACGGAATAAGCACACGAAACAGCCCACACAGCCCGCGACCATTACTGACTCTGTCCGAGCCTTAGCATAAAGGTCGCTCGAAGCGGTTTGCGCATTGTGATTCTTTCTGTTGTTTCTAGAAAAACAATTCCGTGTCCAGTAGGCGCCCGTCTCAGCTTCCCGGCGGCTCGCATGTGCTCGGAATCTTCGCTTCTGAGGCGAAGCGCACAACACTATAGTTGCGACTGGCATCGCGGAGGAGTCGTGTCAGTGCTGTCGCCGAGGTCCGTCGATACGCAGGGCGGCGTCGCCGTCAGCGAGCTTTGCGACCTGCGCTGCGGCAGATGCGGCGTGCGACGCACGCGACAGATGCGGTTTAGCGTTTACCTGAAAACGGAGGCTGGTGCGAAAGTTTTCACGAGTTCGGCCCATGACTCAATACCACGGAATGGCCCCTGCCGCCGCCAGCACCGCCGCGACGTCTCATATTCCTCAGTTCGGTGCTTCTACTAGTAGTGAATGTAATGGAGCCGTTATACGCGTTAGAAGCAGCAACTATTTGCCAGACTTTTGTCTTGACGACGCTTCGTCTGACGCGTCCATTTCTGGTTCGATCGGTTTTAACAATTTGCTGAACAGTAATACCCCCGTTTGTATCACATCCCGGCGCCTTCCGTCGTATCGAGGTCGATTAAGCCTCGATAATGGCAGCTCGACGAGCGCAACAAGCGCTGCCAGCTCGTTACTCCCGGATGCTGCGGCTGGCGACGGCTCGCGATTCTTCTTCTCCCCGTCGCACACTCGCGAGTCCATTCGTGCGGATCGCGATATGCGACTGTCGCGAGTCAACAGCGACGCGGCGTACGCGAAGCTGGTAACCTCGGGCGAAATCATCGCCGCGGGTTACTTCACAAGAGGAAACGAAGCCGCAACCGAGACGGGAAACTCAGCACTATGCGCAGATCCATGGAGATGCCAAGGAAATGCGGAAATCGCGGCGGCGGCGACGGCGGAATCGACGGCGGAAGATGCGGAGGCGGTGTTGGATGCGGCGAGAGCAACAAGTGTCGGTATCGGGTTTACTGCGGAAAGCAGTGGGGCTATTTTCAGCTTAAACCGCATGAGCAGACTCAAGGGAGCAGGGATTGCGGCGGAGCTGGCGCCGTCGGCGAGAAGCGCCGCGGGCGAGGCGAGGCGCCTCTTGCGCCAGGCGGAAAGCATGCAAGCGCGCCGAGCTGCGTACGACTATTTTTTTCACAGCCCTCCCGCCGCCCTGCCCGGCGTCGACTTGCCCGTTGACTCGTCAACATCACGCGCCGCCGCGCTGCCGGCGTGGGACTCCTTCAATCCGCTTTTCTCCGACCGCGAATGGCGGCTCTACGCCGTATCCGACGACCCCGGCGGCGGCGGCGGCGGTGGCGGGGAGAGACGCGCCGCGGAGGGCTGTTGGGGGGAAAGACGAGGGGGCGGAGATGGTCGTTACGGCAAAGATTTTCGAGAGGACGAGTCGTCTGGATTCGGGATGTTCTCTTCGCGCAACGGACGAAGCAGCCCGTCGTTCTTCTCCCCCCCCCGCCGCGTTTTGAGGCGCCTCAAAAGTCGAGAGGATGAGTCGTCTGGATTTGGCCTGTTCTCGTCGCGCAAAGGGAGAAGCAGCCCGTCGTTCTTCTCCCCTTCCCGCCGCCATGACAGCAGCGCGTGCGCGCACCATGACACTGAGAACCCCCCCAAGCCCTTCTCCCCCCGTCCGCGCCACAGCGCCTCCCCTCCGCGCCACAGCGCCTCCCCCCCACGCCACAGCGCCTCCCCTCCGCGCCACAGCGTTTCCCCTCCGCGCCACAGCGCTTCCCCCTCGCGCCACAGCGCTTCCCCTCCGCGCCACAGCGCTTCCCCCCCGCGCCACAGCGCCTCCCCTCCGCGCCACAGCGCCGGCGCAGCCCATGGCGTCCCCGCAGAGCCCTACTCCTTTCCCCCTCCGCGCCAATCCTCTGCCGGAACAGCGAGTGAAGAGTCTTCATCGACGATTTTTGAGGCGTCTCAAAAAGAGCCCTACTCCGTCCCCTCTCCGCGCCAATCCTCCGCCGACACTGCGAGTGAAGAGCCTTTATCGACGAGCCACAGGGAGGGTGGCAGAGCTAGCAGCAGCTCAGTTGTCTCCACTCTGCATCGCCGCAGCAGCGGCTCACCACCTCTGCTGTTTGCACAGGGGCACGGGCAGGGGCAGGGGAGAAACGAGGAGATTTTGGTGGGAAACATTCGAAACAAGTCTCTGGATTCGCTACAGCACCAGCATGAGCTGCAGCAGGTTCCAGATCTGCCACTGAAGCTTATACCGAATCGCCTGTACTCGTTTGAAGCCGCTCGGACTGCGCGCACGTTCCCTGACATGACCTCTCCTGGACATTCCACACCTGCTTCCGAAGCAGCAGGTGTGGCCGAAGATGCACCCGAACCTGCGTGCCAAGCTCCTGCCTGCGCGCACGAGCCTGCTGGCCGCCGAAGCAGCTCTGGAATTGGCGCTACAACTGCACTCGGAACTAACCACTTTGAAAACAAACGCACTCCTGCTGCTGCCGCTGCCGCGGCCACGGCCACCGCTGCTGCTGCTGCCGCTGCCGCTGCCGCGCCCACCGCTGCTGCTGCTGCTGCCCCTGCCAATATCCATGCCACTGCTGCTCCTCCTCCTGACCTGCACCCTCGAGCAAGAGCCCGTGTGCAATCCTGTAGCAGCATTGCTGATATCCCCTTCCAGCCGTTTTTTTCTGCCGGGTCTACACCCGTCAGTGGGCTCATTGGGCTCATTCCCTGGTCCGCTTCCTGTGCTTCGGACGGGGCTATGGCTGTGCAAGATGACAGCATTACCAGTAACGGCAGCAACAGCACTCGCAGCGGCAGTGGCAGTGGTAGAGGTATTGGTGCTGGCGTTGGCAGCAAGGGTAATGAGAAAAGGCAAGGTTCTGGCATGCATAGCAGCACTGCTAAGAGCGGCAATGTCAAGAGTAACAACAATGACAGTGGAAACAGCCGGAGCAGCAGGAGGAGGAGGACGAGCGGGAGCAGCAGGAACAGCAGCAGCAGCAACTGCAGTAGAATCAGCAAGGACAATGGCGAGAGTTTGTCAAGCCGGCAAGACACCAGCAGCAAGCGCTCTCCACGCGAAGTGTTGAGACAATTTTGGAAGGGAGGAAAGAGGGAAGATCACGAGGAGCAGCCGCATAAAGATGCTACGGAAGAAGAGAAGGAAGTAGAGATGGAGAGACGAGAAAACAGCACAGAAGGTGCTGCTGAGGGAGAAGGGATGAAGGGAGGAGGGGTGTTGGGAAGGGAGGGGTTTACATGGCATGGGGCAACAGATGCACAGGAAGTTTTGGTGGTTGGGAGCTCTAGGTGTGCTGGGTTCAGAGCAAGATTGAAGAAATGGATGTCCAGAATGAAAGCATTGTGAATGGAAATGAGTTGTGGTGGTATGTTTTTGCTGTGTCAAAGCAGTTTTTAATAAATAAATTGATTTTCGAGTCAAATACATAACAATGAATGTTTACACCCCCCCCCCTCCCTAAACACACTGCAGCTTGCCTTTCAGAGAAGCAAATACTGAGATTCTCTGATTTCAAGCCACAGGTTGCTTTCTTTCCAAGCAGCTGGCGCCACCACTTAGGCTTGGCAGATCCGCCAAACGACACAGGGTCTGCCAGACCCCCCGCCTTAACCTTCTGTTTAAGCACTACACTCGATAGTGTCCGTTTCAAGAACTCTCCCTTGTTTCTTCTGCACCCAGATCTATCCGCAGTTGCAGGCGTGGCTGCTCCCTCCTCTTCCACAACCTCGTTAGAAACTACCCCGTCTGATTCTGTACAGGTCGTACCGGTAACAGCAGGTGGAGGAGAGCTGCTGCTTACAAAGCAAATTTCGTCCGCACTCGCGAAGGGGTCGGAAACGGGGACGAAAACCAATCCCGAGGTTCCGTCGCGTAGCTTTCTCGTCCTCGCGAGAGCGCGTTCTCGAGGCGAGTCTGGAGCCCGAATCGCCTCGGGAGCGTCAGAGGGAGGGATGAAAACAACCCCCGATGCTCCTTCTCTGTACTTCCTCGTCCTCGCGAAAGCCCGTGTCCCTGCTGCTACTGCTGCCGCCGTCAACTCTGCTCCAACTTCTTCGGTCGACCCTGCTGTTGATGCCTCTTCCCCACCCGCAGCTTGCAGCTGCTCCTCTCCCTGCTCTTTCTCCTGCTCCACCTCCTCATCCAACTGCTCCTCATCCTCATTCTCATCCTGCTCCTGGACTTCATCTGAACTTTTCCTACCTTCCCAGCGCTGCACCTGATTGCGAGTCTCAAACGGCATAGCTCCCAGCCTCGCGCTGTAACGGCCGCGCGGTTGCTGCTGCTGCTGCCGGCCGTAGTGCTGCGGCTGCTGATACTCGCTATAGAATCGATGCGAGTGGTGCCAATCCACAGCCCCGATCTCAATCCCGTCGGTGTCATTTCCCACCTCATCATCCCCTGCGTCGAGCAACAAGCCTTGTAGCGAATTGTGCTGAAACGGATCTTGCTGATGACTGAAACTCCGGCGGGATGGCGAGAAAAATCCCGGGCTCGAGGGAGAGAGGCGGGGAGACGACTCGGCTGACGACAACTCGGCACCCGTCCATGTGTCACCGCCAAACCCGCTGTTACATCCCTGAACAAATTCACCCCCATTTCCGGCGTCAAAAGCGCCGTCAACCCCGCCGTCAAGCCCGCTGCTGAGTCTGCTGCTCGCCCTCTCGCTGCTCGACGACTCGTGACTCAGATTAGTCACGGCGGTGGTCCACGTGCTGTTTGACACGTGGCTGCCGCTGCTGCTGCCTGTCGATGTTGACGTGGCGAACCGCGCGGTGGCGATGGCCCTGCTGACCACGGTAGCTTTGGCAGCACCTGAGGTAGAATGCATGGGTTCAGCTGCTGCTGACGTGGCATCAGTTAGCGGATCGGCCGGGTTGCAGGAAGCTTCGAGGAAGGCAGCGGCAGGCCCGTCGTCGACGGGAGAAACTGGTAACGAGGGAGACGCGGGAGGAGACGCGGCAGCGGCAGAATTCGCCGCGCAGCCCTCAACAACGCCTATAGCATCTTCTCCAGCAGTAGTAGCAGCAGCAGCAGGGGCAAGGAGGAGCGAGACCGGAGCACCTACGAGGGGCGACACCGTTCTAGCTATGACCGTTATAGACGTAACGCGTTGAAGCGGAACGAGTTCTTCCGGTCGTTGATGAGCTTGGGTATTTGCATCAAGTTGATGCGAATCACGGGAATGACTATATGGGGGATGGGAATGATGGGAAGGATAAGCCGGAGGGCCAGGATGAGAATCACCATCGTCAGAATATCTGACCGCCGCCCAAAAATCTTCCTCAGATATGCTCACCCGCCTAGCGCTGCCGCCCCTGCCGCTCAGGTTAGTACCAGCAACAGTAACCCCGCAGCTGAAGCTCCCGCTTCCCCCGCCGTTCAAACTTCCGCTTCCCCCACCGTAACTTCCGCTTCCGCCGCCGAAACTGCCGCTGTCGCCGCTGCCGCTGCCCCTGCTCCCGAGTACGCCCCTCAAGCGAAACAAGTTACTGAAGGTTTCGCCAGCGGATCCTTTCGCAGGGACACGAAAAAAGCTCCCGCTCCCGTCGTCGCCGAGGTCGCACGACCCGTCGCTGAGCAAGCCGATGCTTCCTTGTCGCTCAAACAAAAAGATCGAATCGCGCGCACTCGTCGACGCCGCGGCGTGCGACGGGGAGAAAAAAGAAGGCGAATCGCACGACGACGCCGCGACAGCCGCTTCCATTTTCAATCTCCGTAAAAGGTCGATTCGCGGCGACTGGCTCGTCAGAAACGCCACGTCAGCACCGTTGCTCGCAAGACCACTGCCGCTTAATCCACCCGTGAGGGGACAATCCCCCATACCAACTCCGCCGTCGACGCTCGTTCCCGGCGGCAGCGACCATCGCTGCGCAGAAAGCCGTGCGCCGTTCGCTGTGCCTCCGCTACGGGCGGAAAATTCTCCGCCGGGGGCGGGGGAAGCAGGAGAACACGTCCCGTCGCCGGGATAAGCGGCGGTTTCCATGGGGTCCTCGCGGGGCCTTCTGCTAAGAGGGCTGTTGGAGGCGGGAATGGCGGAATGGGCGGGGGACCTGGGCGCAATGGCATGAAAAGAGGGGAAGTCTCCGGAAAAGGAGCGCGAGTGTCTGTGCCGTGGGGCGCGGCGGCACTCGGCGCGCTTTCCTAGGGGAGAAAAAGAGCCTTCGCGCGGACTGCAGGCATCGGCGGAAGGTGCGGCGGCGACAGCCGGGACCGCTCCCACACTGCAAGAGTCATCAGCGGTCGGTGCGGCGGATGATGCGGCGGGTGGTACGGCGGGTGATGCGGCGGGTGGCGCGGCGCATCCTGTAGCAGCGGCGGACGAGCGCGAAAGGCGCGATCCTCCAGTAGTGGAGTGAAGATGGTGCGATGCTGACATGGTTGGAAGCATTCGCGGCGCCGAAGCGCGCAAAACCTGTGGCGACATGAAGTTGGTATAGGGCCTACGCGAAATGGGTCTAGGCGGAGTGCGGGCGGGACAGTGGGAGGGAACACACACTGCGAGAAATTCTTAATAAACGCCAGAAACAATGAGAACTAGTGGGCCGGGACTAACCTAATGCTCTAGACGCCTGAAAAAAAAGTCTCAGTTACTGTGGATACTATATGGCCGCCGGCTCTGAACTATTTACAGTACGTAGTGAGCTAACGTAACTGGATCTCCTAAAATGGCGTTTCGAAGTTGGGACACCATAAAGACAGGAACAAGTCCTGGAGTGGTTTGGACTAATGGGTAAGACAAACGAGCAACTAAGAGTCTCGTAACAGCCAGAGTGAGAAGAACCAGTCCTGGAAGTTAGCGTCCTTTTTCACTTCGACGCGTAGGACCAGCGGTAAGCGACCGATGTAAACCACTCTGCTGTAAACATAAAACAGCAGCTCCTGCGAACAACACACACGATGCGCGCTCAACCATGTACACGTACTAGTGTACTGTTCTGCATTTCAGCTGCACCGTGTGTCGAGTCAAAGTTACACTGATCGACTCGAAACCGTACTGTACCCTTTTCAGCTGCGCCAAACCCCGCAAGAACGATACTGAAGGAGATCGAACTTGATGGTGGGTACACAATTGGCGTGTACCGCCACACAGCACACCAAAATGCGGGCTTGTGCACATTTGCTGCAGCACGTGAAAAGAGGCGGGAAAAAGGGCAGCGTCCAGTGATCGTCGTTGTGGTGCGTCAGCATGCGACGCGGTTGTCGTTCAGTAGTCACTGAACGAGACTTTCACGTACGAACGACATACAGTATGTACAACGGACTGCACTGTTACGTACGACCGTACGATTATCATGGGTGGATGCAGAGCAAAGCAACGAACGATATGGTACGGTACAGTACAGTATGTATGGAACAAAACTGAGCGACGCCGACGAAGGAACAAGAAAGAACGGAGGGACGAGGAGAGGAACAAACATGACGGTGCGACGGGGATGGAGGGCGGATATGACTACGAAAAGGGCGGAGGGGGAGATGGGGAGAAAGGGAGTTACGAAGGAGGGGAAAGGGAGGGGGGTGATGCCTTGGGGATGGGTCATGGATACAGTGGAGGCGTGTGTGTGTATGGCATGAAGGGAAGTCCTGGAAGGGACGACGGTGGGAACGAAGGCAGAGTGGGAGAGAGGTGGTCCTAAAAGGATTGTGGCAGGGCAGAATTGCATGTCAGGAGCAGTGCACCAAACCACCTTCAAGACGACAAAACCGGAGGTGAAAACAATTCAACTCGCGAATGACAGTTGTACAGTCTGCAAGTGAACTGTACTGCACTAACAGTGTACAGTACAAGCACAATTGGCAGGCTGGAGTGGGGAGGGACTTTGGGGGTGTCTACACAGGATTCAAGACAAGGTCCTCATTCGATACTTCCGTGTCTTCTTCCAAGATCCAAATCTAAATCGCGTCTGAATGTATTTCCATGCCTTCAGAATGATCAAACATTGTTATCTCCGCCCAACCCCGCCAAGAAAGTCAGCTGCATGTGGCAAAAAACAAAACAATGTAGAAAAAAAGTCATGAACCATAAACATGTCATGGTGGTTCGGATTGCTGACAGCTGGACACCTCGATAGCATGCCATCCTACATATATATATTTTTTTCCTAACCGACAAGACGTGGGCAAATGCTTCAACGTTCTGTACATTGAAAAATGAAAAGTGGGATGTGGAAGACTACGTAGTGACAAAAAAATTTTCCAGTTCTATATTGTAAAAAAATAACTACAATTCAGGTATTTCATGATATCCATATGCCCCATGCTATGCGATTTTTAGTATTAGTTCTTGCAGAGCATGATTTGTGAACACTAATTTTGTATCAAGTGTATTCAGGCCGAATGAATGGAGGCGCGGCCTTACAAGGATAGTCAATAAAAGGGCATACAAATTCATATAGTAAGTTATACATGATAAAGACAACTACTTTAACAAAACTACATAGATTTAGCGAATGTTCTAGTCAGATTATACAGTAGGTAAACAGCCACATAAACTAGCGAATACTTTTATTTATAACTTACATATTTGAGGCTACATACTCGATTTGCCAAATATACGATTATGTATCAGAAACTTGTCATTTTGTTCTCACCCGAAAAGAAAAACAAAAATAATAGACCAAAGAGTGGTCAACTTTGCTCTAATGCAGTTACAAATCACCTCTATTAGTTCCAACTGTGAAGGCAGCTAGTATAATAGAGCATAGACTAGTTGTGCATGGATTCATTCCAATATCTAATCGCGCACCTGGTGCTCCGATTTCTTTTGTTCCCAACCCAAGGTGAACTTTGCAGTCCTGCCAGATTGCACAGCTGATGCCATTTGCTTACTGTCGCAGGTGGATCCGATGGTCAAATTGAAGGTCGGCACCCCTAGACTGGTCCTAAGCTTCATCCAATCAGAGGTCATGAAGCACATGCTGTCGAGTCAGATGTCAGCTTGGATGGCATTTTGACCCACCAAAGTTAATGCAGATACGACAACCCAAAAAAAACCAACTTGATAGAAAGAATTTGAATTTTGTACACAGTCGCAAAAAAAATCACTTGATTATATAAATCTAACATGTGCTTGCTTGATGCTTGCTGCTGTTATTGTGTGAATATATTAACTATTCGGCAATGCCAATCAATACCTTGCATGGAGAGCACGAGAATTACCTCATCAGAGCAATAGTACACAAGCTGAAATACCCATCGTGAAACTAGAGGGCTGCGATCCAACTATGTGCTTGGGCCTATAAAAAATGTCTCTGAAATTGTCGCCTCAATGCTTTCGGGAGTGTACACAAAGAGCTTACTTGACGTCAAATCATCCCTTCATATACGCAACGTTTGGGAAGAAAGAAAGGCAAATGGGAAGGGAAGCATAGAACAGGGAGGAAATGGTTTGAGTTACAGAACCACAATGTACGGTAATTGGCATTTCCTGATAATTTCTTAGTCTTTGAGAAGGCGAGCGGCAACTTGTGACATCTCCCCCGTAGATCCATCAACTCACATCATATTTACTCAAGCCGGCTGGACACACTGCCTCTTGCTCTCACCAGAAGGGCAGCAGCATCTTGCGGTATCGCTCGCGCAGCACCGTGGACCACTTAGCGCGGGTCTTCCAGGTCAGCTCAGCTCAAGCCCACTCAAGTCAACTCAGGTCAACCTTAGTCAACTGCACACAATTGTTGCTCTCACCAGAAGGGCAGCAGCATCTTGCGGTATCGCTCGCGCAGCACCGTGGACCACTTGGCGCGGGTCTTCCTCCGCAGCTCCTCATCGGGAATGCACCACCGCCGCTGCCGTGCCACCAGCGCTTCAAACGCCCCGTTGAACCGCCGCAACCTGCGGTGGTGGGGGTAGGTGGTATGGTGGGGGAAGAGGTGAAGCGGGTCTTCCTCCGCAGCTCACGCAGAGGTGAAAGGGTTGGCACCACCGCCGCTGCCGTGCCACCAACGACTCAAACGCCCCGTTGAACCGCCGCAACCTGGGAGGAGTGATGGGGTGAGGTGGTGGGATGCGGTGGGGTATGGTGGGGGAAGAGGTGAGGCGGGTCTTCCTCCGCAGCTCCTCATCGGGAATGCATCACCGCCGCTGCCGCGCTACCAACGACTCAAACGCTGTGTTGAATCGCCGCAACCTGGGGGAGAGACAGGGGATGGGGAAGCATGTTAGGGGGCGGTGGGAAACGGTGGGGGACGGTGGAGGATGGTAGGGGATGGTGGGGAACGGTGGGGGATGGAGGGGGATGATGGGGGTTGGGGAGGGAAGAGGTGAAATGGGAGCATCATCAGGAGTGCACCACTGCCGCTGCTGTGCCACCAATAACTCAAACGCCCCGTTGAATTGCTGCAACCTGGGAGCAGGAGAGACGGTGGGTTGAGGTGGGGGATGGTGGGCATGGCGGGGATTGTCAAGGATGGTGGGGGATGGTGGGAAACGGTTGGGGATGGTGAAGGGTGGTGGGGGATGGTGGGAAAGGGGTGAAGCAGGAAACAAATCGGGCATGGGTTGCCGGTGAGGCGAGACAACAGGAAGATTAACAAAAGCAATTTAGAAGCGGAACAGCCTAGGAGGAAAGGAAATGGGAATACGGTGGTGAGTGAGTGAGTGTGTGGGGAGGGGAGGGGAGATGAGGGGTGTGATGGGAGTCAGGGAGGAGACTAGGAAATAGAAGAGGACATATATAAGGAGAGTGGGAGCCAAGAGGAGGAGAAAAGAGGAGAGAAAACGTGTGGCGGGAGAGTCACGAGAGGAGGCGAGATAGGAAACACAGGAGGAAAGGAAGAGGCAGACCTGTTGAGTCTGAGCTTCACAGAGTCGGGTGTGCCTCGGGGAGGCTCATCTGTGAGTGCTGCCATGACCTGTAAGAAGAGGAGAGCGGGGCAGACGGGCAGGGGGAGAGAGGCAGGCAGGCAAGGGACAGCCAGGCAGGGAGGGTGAGAGAACGAGTCTGGGGGTGCTCATCTCCGAGTGCTACACTCACAGAGGGGAGGTGGGCAGGGAGGGAGGTGGGCAGGGAGGGAGGTGGGCAGGCAAGGAGGTGGGCAGGCAGTGTGGTGGGCAGGAAGGGAGAGGGGCAGGTAAAGAGATATTTGCTGCACCATCTGTTCCCATCCTCCCCTCCTGTCCCCTCACCTCTCCCTTTCCATCTCCCCTCTTCCCACGGCCCACTCACAGCAGCCAGCGCGCGACTCTGGAAGGCGGTGGCATGCAGTTGAACGATGTGGCCGTCCCTCAGGTCCGCCATGGCTGCTGTGAGATCCCGCGCGCCCTCCCTGGATTGTGTGGGGGAGGAGGGGTGAAAGACAACCGGACAAGGAGTGGTGTGTGTGTGTGGTTGTGGGGTTGTGGTTCGTCCCTCAGGTCCGCCAAGGCTGCTGTGAGATCTCTCGCGCCCTCCCTGGGGTGTGAGCGTGTGGGAGGGAGCGAGGAGGAGGGGGGGGACGGGGAGGGAGGATGATGAGCCGACAGGTTGTGGGGTTGTGGTTTTGTCCCTAGATCCGCCAAGGCTGCTGTGAGATCCCTCGCGCCCTCCCTGGAGTGAGTGGACGGGAGGGGGGTTGGGGAAGGTGCGAACGGGACAAGGGACAAGAAGGAAAAAGGTTCTGCTCTGTCCCTCGATCCGCCATGGCTGCTGTCAGGTCCCTCGCGCCCTCCCTGGGGTGTGGGGGAGGAGGGGGAGAGGGGGGGGACAAGGGGACAAGGGGGGGAGAGGGGGAAGGAAGGGGGAAAAGTTGGTGTGTGAGGGGGGGAGGAAGGGTTATGTTTTGCCCCTCTGGTGTGTCATCACTGACTTGGAAAACAACCACGTACGTAGCACACGTGGAAGGGACGTATGCGTGCAGTGAACTGGGAAAAGCATACATGCACGCACGCACGCACGCATGCAACGGCAGAAGCAACAAGGAGGCTTCCTTACTTGCGAGCTTGAAGCAACATGCACGCACGCACGCATACACGGATCGCTTACTTGCGAGCTTGTGAGAGCGGAGGAAGAAGCAAGCAGCAAGCAGCACGGGTGTGAGTGATCGCTTACTTGCGAGCTTGTGAGAGCGGGTGGTTCAGGCTGTCCACGTGCCAGCGATACCAGTCAGCACTGGGTAGTAGGGCAGAACAGGGTGTGGGAGGGAGGCGACAGGTTGGGTGTGAGAGCGAGACGTGATGAGGGCGAGTGGGAGTGAGAGCGGGTGGTTCAGGCTGTCCACGTGCCAGCGATACCAGTCAGCGCTGTGGGTGGTAGGACACAAGGAAAGGGGAAGAGGGAGGGATTTAGAAGGGTAGAGAGTACATGAGGAACAGGTGCTGCAGCTCCTTCTTTCACCACAGACAGGTATGTCCATATGTACCTGTGCGCACACAGCCTCAATTACATGCACTGCTCCTCTCACTCACGCGGACTGCACGAGGTAGTGAGTGTTGTTCATGAGGAACAGGTGCTGCAGCTCCTCCTCGCGGTACAGCCCGCCGCGTGCCTCCAGATTCACCACCAGTGCACTCAGCAGGTGCGCCGTCTCACTCTCCGCACTCCTCCCCGCGTGCTGCTGCCCTCCCCCTCGCTTCCACTTCCCATCCCCTCCCTTCCCACCGTCCGCTTTCCCACTGTCCGCCTTCCCACCCGCCGCCTTCCCTCCCGCGGCTGCTGCCTTCCCATCCCCCTTCGGCTTGCTGCTGCCCCCTCTGCCATCCTCCTTCTCTCCGTCCCCGTCCTCCTCCTCCTCGTCGCTCACTGCCGCCTGCTCCTCCAGCAAATGGAAGAGCGATGCGAGTACGTCCAGGTAGCTGTTGTGGGTGGATGGCACGCTGGAAAGTGGGGGTTGGGAAAAGGCAAAATGCACAGGATGAGTGAAATCTTACACTCGGCTTCTGCTCCCCCATCCTCCTCCTCCTCCTCCTCCTCCTCCTCGTCACTCGCTGCTCCTTGCTCCTCCAGAAGGTGGAAGAGCGAGGCGAGCACATCCAGGTAGCTGTTGTGGGTGGAGGGTACGCTGGGGGGTGGAGGATGGGGGGGAGGTGGAGGGGGATACAAAGGTGGAAGGATACAAGAAGTGGGGAATTCGAGTGAGTGGCTTTGGCTCCTGCAGCAGGTGGAAGAGCGAGGCAAGCACATCCAGGTAGCTGTTGTGGGTGGATGGGACGCTGCGGGGATGGAGGATGGGGGGAGGTGGGAGGTGGGGGGGGGATACAAAGGTGGAAGGATACAAGAGTGAGGCGAGCACGTCCAGGTAGCTGTTGTGGGTCGAGTAGGGGGCAAGGTTGGTGGGGAGAGGAAGGTGAAAGGCATGGGATGCGTGGGGTTGCTACTAGATGCTCCAAGGCTCCTCCAGCAGGTGGAAGAGCGAGGCGAGCATGTCCAAGTAGCGTAGGGAAGGGCACTCTGGAGCGGCCAAGACAGAGAAAAACAAGGGCAGATGTTAACCTTTAGCCTTAGGAAGGAGAAGTTCCGGACCTTGGCGAGGTTGCCGAGCGCGGAGGGGATGGGGAAGGAGCAGCAAGCAACACGCACTACCTCGTAGGTGTTTGGGGTGCGTGCGTGTGGGAGTTTTGTTTGGGGTCCATACCATAGCCTCCGCCCGCCCTATCACTGCTGACAGACAGCATCGCAGTGCATGGTCTCTCTCTCCAGTCCAGCACACATGCACATGCACATGAACACAACACACAGTCGTGCATGACTTTTGAGACGTCTCAAAAGCCAGCACACATGCACATGCACATGAACACAACACACAGTCGTGCATGACTTTTGAGACGTCTCAAAAGCCAGCACACATGCACATGCACATGAACACAACACACAGTCGTGCATGACTTTTGAGACGTCTCAAAAGCCAGCACACATGCACATGCACATGAACACAACACACAGTCGTGCATGACTTTTGAGACGTCTCAAAAGCCAGCACACATGCACATGCACATGAACACAACACACAGTCGTGCATGACTTTTGAGACGTCTCAAAAGCCAGCACACATGCACATGCACATGAACACAACACACAGTCGTGCATGACTTTTGAGACGTCTCAAAAGCCAGCACACATGCACATGCACATGAACACAACACACAGTCGTGCATGACTTTTGAGACGTCTCAAAAGCCAGCACACATGCACATGCACATGAACACAACACACAGTCGTGCATGACTTTTGAGACGTCTCAAAAGCCAGCACACATGCACATGCACATGAACACAACACACAGTCGTGCATGACTTTTGAGACGTCTCAAAAGCCAGCACACATGCACATGCACATGAACACAACACACAGTCGTGCATGACTTTTGAGACGTCTCAAAAGCCAGCACACATGCACATGCACATGAACACAACACACAGTCGTGCATGACTTTTGAGACGTCTCAAAAGCCAGCACACATGCACATGCACATGAACACAACACACAGTCGTGCATGACTTTTGAGACGTCTCAAAAGCCAGCACACATGCACATGCACATGAACACAACACACAGTCGTGCATGACTTTTGAGACGTCTCAAAAGCCAGCACACATGCACATGCACATGAACACAACACACAGTCGTGCATGACTTTTGAGACGTCTCAAAAGCCAGCACACATGCACATGCACATGAACACAACACACAGTCGTGCATGACTTTTGAGACGTCTCAAAAGCCAGCACACATGCACATGCACATGAACACAACACACAGTCGTGCATGACTTTTGAGACGTCTCAAAAGCCAGCACACATGCACATGCACATGAACACAACACACAGTCGTGCATGACTTTTGAGACGTCTCAAAAGCCAGCACACATGCACATGCACATGAACACAACACACAGTCGTGCATGACTTTTGAGACGTCTCAAAAGCCAGCACACATGCACATGCACATGAACACAACACACAGTCGTGCATGACTTTTGAGACGTCTCAAAAGCCAGCACACATGCACATGCACATGAACACAACACACAGTCGTGCATGACTTTTGAGACGTCTCAAAAGCCAGCACACATGCACATGCACATGAACACAACACACAGTCGTGCATGACTTTTGAGACGTCTCAAAAGCCAGCACACATGCACATGCACATGAACACAACACACAGTCGTGCATGACTTTTGAGACGTCTCAAAAGCCAGCACACATGCACATGCACATGAACACAACACACAGTCGTGCATGACTTTTGAGACGTCTCAAAAGCCAGCACACATGCACATGCACATGAACACAACACACAGTCGTGCATGACTTTTGAGACGTCTCAAAAGCCAGCACACATGCACATGCACATGAACACAACACACAGTCGTGCATACACACACGCATGCACACCCCAAACAACACACGCACAGACGCAGTGGCGCATGTAGCTGCGGATATAGTTGGCTACGTAGCTGGTGATTGGGTCAACTACTCCTCCCCTGTCACTGCCGGTGGCGTTACATAGCGTGGACGCGCAACTAACACACACAGAGAACACACACAGCAGCACATACCGGCGCATGTAGCTGCGAATGTAGTTGGCCACGTAGCTGGTGATGGGGACAAGCACTCCCCTCGGGCGGCAGCAAAGCGTGTGCCTCTCCAACACATGCACACATTTACTGTCGCGTGTGACCATACCACACACGCACCGGCGCATGTAGCTGCGAATGTAGTTGGCCACGTAGCTCGTGATGGGGTCAACTACTCCCCCCGGCGGCATGACGTCCTGAGTGCTCTCCTCTGCTGCTGGTGATGCCGATGTGGTGCTCGCATTGCGACCCAGGAACGGCATTCTGCGGTGGAGAGGGAAGATGGAGAGGGGTGGAGAGGGATGGAGAGGGATGGAGAGGGATGGGATGAAGGAATGAAGGGCAGAAGAGAGGAGAAGAAAGGGGAAAGGCATGACGTCCTGAGTGCTCTCCTCCGCTGCTGGCGATGCTGACGTGGTGCTCGGATTGCGACCCACGAACGGCATTCTACGGGATTGAGAGAGGGTGGAGATGGGTGAAGAAGGAAAAGCATGACGTCCTGAGTGCTCTCCTCCGCTGATGGCGGCCCCGATGTGGTGCTTGCCGTGCGGCCCAGGAACGGCATTCTGCGGTGGGAAAGGGTGGGGAGGAATGGAGAGGAATGGGATGAAGGGAATGAAGGGCAGGGGAGAGGGGAGGAAGAGGGAAAGGCATGCCATCCTAAGCGCTCTCCTCTGCTGCTGGCGGGCTGATGTGGTGCTTGCTGCGCGACACAGGAACGGCATTCTGTGAAATGGGAGTGGAGTGGGTGGAGTGGGTGGAGTGGGTGGAGTGGGTGGAGTGGAGAGACGCACCTACGCACCTGAATTGAAGCACCCACCTGAACAGCTTTGCAAGCGATGGCTTCTTCTCCCCCTCCCCACCCTCTCCTCCTCCACCCCCCGCTGCCTCCCCACCACCAGTAGTAGCAGAAGCAGCAGCACCGGATGCAGAGGGGGAGGCGGAGGAGGCGGAGAGGGGCGGAGCAGCGGCAGCCATGGCTTGGGCGGACTTGGTGGAGGTTTCCAGGAGGGCTTTGAAGCGGTCAAAGGTGTCGGCCACGGCTCGTGCTATGAGCAGCGGGAGGTGCTGGCAGGCCGGCCACACTGTCTCCATCTTGAGAAGATTGATTGTGGCGGATAGCTGGAATGGAAACAAGTGGGGGGGAGAAAGAAAACAAGACAAGGGTATGAGACTTGGTGGAGGTCTCGAGGAGGGCTTTGAAGCGGTCAAAGGTGTCGGCCACGGCTCTTGCGGTGAGGAGCGGGAGATGCTGGCAGGCCGGCCATACCGCTTCCATTTTGAGAAGGTTGATTGTGGCGGATAGCTGCATTGGGAAACCAGGAAGGGGTGGGGGCCGGCATGATTTCTTGGGCCGACTTCTTCTCGTGCGCCTCACAAGTCGACAAACATACACGCAAGCTACAAATGTAGTTTTGTTTGTTTGTTTGATTTTTTTTTGTTTTTTTTTTTTCACAAAATAATACATGATAAACATGAAAAATCACGACCTACCTCTGGCATGACTTCTTGGGCAGCCCGAAAAGCATCGAGCAGCGAAAAGAGTTGCTCGGGCAGGTTGCGGGCGATGATGGCGCGGAGGATCAAGGTGTGATCTGCTATGCGCTTGCCCATGCCGCTGTCCTCCAGGATTGCCCTCAATGCCCCGCGCTCGTGCACCTGAGAAAAGCGCACAGTGCAAGGGGCACAAGAGGGGAATATGTGTCATAAGAGAACCGAGGATCAAGGCATGCTCTGCTATGCGCTTGCCCATCCCGCTGTCCTCCAGTATGGCCCTTGGCGCCCCGCGTTCATGCACCTGAGAAAAGTGTAGGTTTGAGTAGTAGGAGGGCGGGTAGTGGGGGGACGAGAGGGGAGGAGCGGGGAGAAGAAGGGAGCATGGGGGGGATAGGTGGGGTGGGGAACATCCCGCATAACACAGTGGGAACCAGATGTGATACCAGTATGTGAGAGTGAGAGGGTATGTGCCTGCCCATGTCGCTGCTCTCACTCTCAGTGTACCACCTTCGTGCTTGCTTGCTCCCCTCACCCATACCCTCTTCTAACCCCGCCCCCAGCCATTCACCCTTCCCTCCCCCGCCCCGCTCTCTCCTCTCTCCTCTCACCTGCATGCCTCGCCACACGGCCGCTGCTGTCCTCCTCTCCATGCCCAGTAGCAGACGGCCCTGAGCAAAAGGAGGGGGGGAACGCCGAGAGGGGGGAAAGAGGGGAGAAGGGGGAAGGGAACGATGGGGAACTTAGTGTGTAAGCGGGGGGAAGGAGGAGCGAGAGAGACAGAGGGGGAGGGGAGGAAAAAGGGGAAAGGGAGGGGAGCGAGGGAGAAAGTGGGGACGAGACAAGAGGGGGAGGAGAAGGAAGCTGACATCCATGGTGATGGTGGCGTTGGGAGGAGCGGATAAGGGATGCCAACACAAGCGCATTCGCAAACTAGAAAACACCCACGCACACACGCACGCACAAGGAGGTACACATCCTGAGTCCACTGCTTGCTCAGCGGCATGTCCGCAATCTGCCCTGCCGTCACCATGTTCCGAGCCAACTCCCACCCACCCAAGCACCCATCACCACCACCCAGCACCCATCACCACCCAGCACCCGCGCACCAGAATGTACATATCCTGAGTCCACTGCTTGCTGAGCGGCTCCAGCTCCGCCCATGGCCACAGCATGTTCAGAAGACCACTCACCGCCCAGCACCACCCACCACCCAGCACCGCACACCACCACCCACCACCACTCCAAATCACCGCCCGCGCACCAGAATGTACATATCCTGAGTCCACTGCTTGCTCAGCGGCTCCAGCTCCGCCCATGGCATGTCTGCGATCTGCCCTGCCGTCACCATCCACGGCCTCTCAGACTCCAGCCGCTGCAGCGCCCCCTTGAGACTGTCCACTCGCACCGACCTGCACATGCGTAGGGAGTAGCGGTGCAAGAGGGGAGGGCAGAGTGGAGGGAGAAAGGGCATGTCTGCGATCTGCCCTGCTGTCACCATCCACGGCCGCTCGCTCTCCAGCCGCTGCAGCGCCCCCTTGAGGCTGTCCACCCGCACCGACCTGCATGAACGTGTGAGGTGGGGGAGATGAGTAAGAGGGGCGGCAGAGTAGAGGGAGAAAGGTCATGTCTGCGATCTGCCCTGCTGTGACCATCCAAGGCCTCTCGCTCTCCAGCCGCTGCAGTGCGCCCTTGAGGCTGTCCACTCGCACCGACCTGCATGAACATGTGGGAACGGAGGGGTTTGAAGGGAGGGCATACGAGAGGTGGAGATGGTATGTCTGCGATCTGCCCTGCTGTGACCATCCACGGCCTCTCGCTCTCCAGCCGCTGCAGTGCGCCCTTGAGGCTGTCCACTCGCACCGACCTGCATGAACATGTGGGAACGGAGGGGTTTGAAGGGAGGGCATACGAGAGGTGGAGATGGTATGTCTGCGATCTGCCCTGCTGTCACCATCCACGGCCTCTCGCTCTCCAACCGCTGCAACGCGCCCTTGAGGCTGTCCACCCGCACCGACCTGCATGAACGTGTGGGAAAGGAAGGGAAAGAAGCACCGTATCCATCTGTAGGGATTTTTTGAGAATTCTAAAAAACTCCCTGAAAGGAAGGGAAAGAAGCACCGTATCCATCAGTATGCAGTCAACTGAGTCCACACCACATGAGCCAATCAGCCGGCCCCACATGAGCACATGAGTTCATCTCCATCCATCCACCTGAAAGCCCACCTGAGATCAACCAAATCCACCTGAGCCCACCTGAAGGCCTCCACACAGCGCACACTCTCCCCTCCCGCCACCAGCCTGGCGGCCGTCTGGTTCAGCCACCGGGCAGCGATTTCCGGCAGCACATGCAGCGAATCGGCATCCTCCAACTCCCCCTCATCCAAACCCCCCATCCCCTCCCCGCCAACACCACCTTCCCCTCCCCCCCCTCCACCCGCTCCCCCGCCTCCCACTCCCCCTGTGCTGTTCCTGCTGCTGCTAGCGCTGGTACCCCCTGTCACGCCGCTCTCAGGGGAGCTGCTGCTGGTGCTGACGCTGCTGGTTGCGGCAGCAGCTGCAGCAGCGGTGGTGGTGGTGGCGGCAGGGGGGTAGAAGTTGCGGTGGAAGATGCGAGAGAGAGTGTCGACTGTGAATCGCGTGGATGCCTGCTGGCTGGTGTGGGGGTAAAGGGGAAAGGGGAGGGTGACGCGCAACATAAAGGAAATAAGGGGTTCATGACATGACACAAGACAGTAGCAGCAGCAGCAGCAGCAGGAGCAGCATAACACCTCACCTCCGTCTCGACAGAACGCCCCTGAATTCGTACTCCAGGCCCTCCATCCACAGGAGGCAAGAGATCAACGGATCTCGCATCCGTCAAACGGCAGTTCTACCTCCCCCTCAGCATAACATCTCACCTCCGTCTCGAGAGAATGTCTCTGAACTCGTACTCCAGGTCCTCCATGGCCCGCTGAAGCATGCCTTGTCTGACAAGAGGTTAAAGAACCTGCAAGAGGTTAAAGAGCCTCCGTCTGGCCGACCTGCATCTGAGCAGAGCACAGACGCAAAGTGCCTCACCTCCGTCTCGACAGAATGTCTCTGAACTCGTACTCCAGATCCTCCATGGCCCGCCGGAGCATGCCTTGTGTTGTGTTGTGATGAAAGAGCCTCCGTCTGAGCAACACACAGCACTCCTCACCTCCGTCTCGACAGAATGTCTCTAAACTCGTACTCCAGGTCCTCCATAGCCCGCCCAGCATGTCCTGTTGTGACAAAAGAGTTTTTGCCTGACATGCCTTGGCAAAGCCTCACCTCCGTCTCGACAGAATGTCTCTGAACTCGTACTCCAGATCCTCCATAGCCCGCCGAAGCATGCCGTGCTGTGGGATTGGCTTGTGGCATGCTGCTGCTGTGGGTGGGCTGGCCCTGCTAATGACATACGGAGCTCCTCACCTCCGCCTCGACAGAATGTCTCTAAACTCATACTCCAGGTCCTCCATAGCCCGCCGGAGCATGCCGTCCGCGCGCCGCCCAGTCTCCTTGTCGCGCGCCTCCAGCAGCAGCGCTCGCACGCTGAGCAGCAGATCAATGGCAGGCAGGTACTCGTCCAGCTTGCAGTGCGGCCCCTCCTCTATGAACGCGTCCATCTGTGAGGAAGAGAGAAAGGGGAGTGGGCTCAGGGGATCGTATTTTATAGGGCCTCCAGCAGCAGCACCCTCACGTTGAGTAGCAGCGCCCTGACGCTGAGCAGCAGGTGGATGGCCGGCAGGTACTCGTCCAGCTTGCAGTGCGGCCCCTCCTCTATGAACGCGTCCATCTGGGGGAGAAGAGACGGGAGGGGAAATGTGGGGGACTCGTGATGAATGGAGAGGCTTGGTCAAGACAGCAGCAGCGCCCTGACGCTGAGCAGCAGATCAATGGCCGGCAGGTACTCGTCCAGCTTGCAGTGCGGCCCCTCCTCTATGAACGCGTCCATCTGGGTTGAGGCACAGAGGGTATGAAAAGAGAGTGGGAAATAAGGAGAGGCATGGGCAGGAATGCGCTCAGCAGCAGCAGGTCGATGGGTGAGTGGCTGGCAGGTACTCGTCCAGCTTGCAGTGCGCCCCCTCCTCTATGAACGCGTCCATCTGGGAGTCGGCGGGATGGGGAGGAAGAAGAGAGGAAAGAAATAAGGGCGTGCGGAGCCACTGAGCACTCCACACACCACACCACACCACACCACACTCACTCAGCAGTAGCAGGCGACTCAGAAGTTGCTTCACTGAGAGCAAGAGCTTGATGGCTTTTGAGGCGCCTCAAAAGTCGTCAAGAGCTTGATAGCAGGCAGGTACCTGCTTTAGGGATTTCCTGCTTTAGGAAGTACCTGGTTTAGCAAGTACCTGCTTTGGGAAGTACCTGCTTTAGCAAGTACCTGCTTTAGCAAGTACCTGCTTTAGCAAGTACCTGCTTTAGCAAGTACCTGCTTTAGCAAGTACCTGCTTTAGCAAGTACCTGCTTTGGGAAGTACCTGCTTTAGCAAGTACCTGCTTTAGCAAGTACCTGCTTTAGCAAGTACCTGCTTTAGCAAGTACCTGCTTTAGCAAGTACCTGCTTTAGCAAGTACCTGCTTTAGCAAGTACCTGCTTTAGCAAGTACCTGCTTTAGCAAGTACCTGCTTTAGCAAGTACCTGCTTTAGGAAGTACCTGCTTTAGCAAGTAACTGCTTTAGCAAGTACCTGCTTTAGCAAGTACCTGCTTTAGGAAGTACCTGCTTTAGCAAGTACCTGCTTTAGCAAGTACCTGCTTCAGCAAGTACCTGCTTTAGCAAGTACCTGCTTTAGCAAGTACCTGCTTTAGCAAGTAACTGCTTTAGCAAGTACCTGCTTTAGCAAGTACATGCTTTAGCAAGTACCTGCTTTAGCAAGTACCTGCTTTAGCAAGTACCTGCTTTAGCAAGTACCTGCTTTAGCAAGTACCTGCTTTAGCAAGTACCTGCTTTAGCAAGTACCTGGTCAAGTAGTGGATACCTGATCCAGCAGCTCCACCACTCGTCGCCTTGAGATGGGTTCATCCCCCAACACCTTTGACTCGTAATACACATCATCATCCTCCTCCCCTTCCCCTTCCTCCTCCTCTTCCTCTTCCTCGTCCTCCTCCTCTTCCTCCTCTTCTTCCTCCACTTCTTCCTCCTCCTCTTCTTCCTCTTCCTCCTCTTCCTCCTCCTCTTCTCCTTCTGAAAACTCCTCCCCTTCACTATGCGTTTCTCGCACCCACCCCTCCTCATACCCCCCTCCACTTGCACCACTCTCCCCCCCACCTCCCCTACTCCCCCTCCTGCTCCCGCCACTGCTGCTGCCGCCACTGCTATCCCTCCTGCTTCGCCTGCCTGTAGCTGCCACAGCCGAGTCTCTTGGTCCGCCAGGGGTGGACTGGGACTTGGGGAAAGCCGCTGCTGCTGCAGCCGCACTAGAGCTGCCGCCTCTTGGGTTACCTGCGCGCCTGCTACCCCCAATAGGGTTACCACCATAACCACCCACTGCCATTCCTGCTGCTGCTGGTGGTGGTGACGTGTGGTGGTGGTATTGGTGCTGCTGCTGCTGCTTCTGGTGATACGACTCCCCACCAGAACCCATGCGCCAACCCTGCTGTCCCGGTTCGGACGCCTCCGAGCCATACGGGTACTCCTCTGCCGAGCCTAGCACCGAGGCTTGGTACAGGGACCCTTGAGGGGAGCCCACAGGTGAAATCTCAGGTGAATCCACAGGTGTTCTCAACGGAGTGCGGTTGCTGGGACGGACAGCAGGCAGCGACACCCTACCAGGCCCTCCCATCACAGCCCCAGCCACCACCATCAGGGGAAGTGAGGATGCATCGAAACTCTCACCCCTTTCTCCCCCTCCCCCTCCTGCGGCCCCTCCTGCGCCCCCTCTTCCCCCGGCCTGCCCCCCTGCTCCTGCTGCTCCTGCTGTTCTAAAAGAGAACCCATCAGGAGAGGAAGGGGAAAGCTGATCAGAATAGGGATAGGCCTGCTGCTGCTGCTGGTGGTGGTGGTGGTGCTGGGCAGAAGGAGAGTATTCCTGCTCTTCCAAACCTCTGTAGCTTGGAGACATGTCCGGCGTCTGGTTCGGCGAGTGCTCCGGGGTTTGGTCCGGGGTTTGGTCCGGGGTTAGGTTCGGGGACCGGTTGGACGAATGGTGAGAGGAGCGCACAGGAGATGATTGGCCAGGGGAACTGATGGGAGAGTGGTCCGACAGCCGGTCCGGGGATCGGTGAGAGGATCGGACAGGAGACCGCTCAGGAGAATGTTCAGGTGAATGTTCAGGCGAGGAATCTGTTGGCAACAAATCGGACTCTCCCCGGCCACCTCTGTTCCCCCTATTGCCCGACCCGCTAAGGTAAACACCCACCTCGTCAACCACAGGAACGCCTATACTCCCTGCTCCTGACCTTCTTCCCCCATTCGACCCTCCTGCCTTCCTGCTTCCCCCATGCGCCCCCCCTCTATAGTCATCCTCGTAGGGCTCTCTCGCCTCGTGGTGGTCACGCCCCCTACTGGAACGCTTGCTTGAGTCACTCTTGGCGCTCGACGTACGGCTGGCGTGCCTCTGTGGGAGGGGGGAACGCGGGGGGAGGGGGGAAAAAGGGCGGAAGGGGGAGAAAGGAGGGAGGGGGGAACGTAAGTGACTCTGAGTCGACTCAAAAGTCACTCTTGGTGCTTGCTGTGCGGCTGGCGTGCCTCTGTGGGTGGGAGGGGGGGAGGAGGAGAGAGGGGAGTGGGGAGAGCGGGGAGTGGTGAGGGGAAGTGCTAAGGATCAGACGAACGGGGTGTGCAGTGCAGTGCGGTGCAGTGCAGTGCGGTGCAATGCATTTGGCTCCTCACATGTGCATCAGTGTCACTTGGCGCGTGTTGGTGCGTGCTGCTGCTGCTGCTCACCTGATTTGCGACCACAAGCACCCGCGCGGCTCACCTGCAAGACGTCTCAAAAGTCTCAAGCCTTTGAGACGTTTCACATCACAAGCACCCGCGCGGCTCACCTGCGAGACGTCTCAAAAGTCTCAAGCCTTTGAGACGTGTCACAACACAAGCACCCGCGCGGCTCACCTGCGATCCGCGCTCCTCCATTGACGAGCACGACGGCACGCCGTGCCTGCCGGAACTCCTCCCCTCCTTCCCTGCTTCTCCATGCCTCCTCTCCCTCTCCCTCTCCCTCTCTCTCTCCCTCTCCCTCTCCCTCTCTCTGTCCCTGTCCTTGGGTCGATCCCGCTCCTTCTCTCTTCGGCCTTCCCTCTCTCTTTCCCTCTCACCGTCCCTGCCTCTCTCCCGCTCCCGCACTCTATCGCTCTTCCGTTCCCTATCCTTATCCTTCACCTCATAGTCCCTATCCCTGCCTCGCTCCCGCTCCCTATCCTTATCTCTGTCCCGCCTTTCCCGATCCTTCCCTTCTCTCTCCCTCCGTTCCCTGTCCCGACTACCGTCGCGATCCCCCTCAAATCGGTCTACCCTTTCTCTCGTCCTCTCCCGTTCCTTATCCCTATCCCTGTCCCTGTCCCTGTCCCTGTCTTTATCTCCGTCGCGATAACGATCCCTATCCTTAACTTTATCTTTAGAGTCTCTATCTCTCAGCCTCTCGCGCTCTCTCTCTTCGTCCCTGTCTCTATCGCGGCTGCCGCTGCTTCTCCTATACTCCTTATCCCTATCCCTATCCTTAGCTCTATCCCTGTCCCTATCCCTGTCCCTTTGTCTGTCTCTGTCCCTGTCCTTATCCCTAACTCGATCCCTATCCCTGTCCCTATCCCTATCCTTTCCGCGACCGCTTTCGCTAGACCTTTCGCTAGACCTTTCGCTCGACTTATCACTGATAGGCCCAGTCACTCGCCCGGCCTTATCCTTGCTGTCTCGCGTCCGTCCCGCTTTTCCGTGACTCCCAGATACCGGCGGTCGCACGTCCCACGCTTCCGGCGAAACGTCGCCATCGTCGTCGTCGTCGTCGTAACGGTCCATGGTAACCCTAGGGTAGTAAACCTTACTCTCACTGGTTCTCGAAAAATAGCATCACAAGGTTCAAAAGCTGACAGTGGTTGCTCCTAAAGAAAGACGTTCTAAGTTACTAGAGCTTAATATACGCAAGGCGAAAGACGCGGGTTTAGAGACGTTGGCCAAAAGAAGTAAGACAATGCTGCATTCTTGCATATAACACGTGCCGTATAATACTCTTAAATATTAACTTGTACTCTATAAGCGCTCGTGTTGGTGCTCTTAGGTCTTCGACAAAAACAAATAGCTGCACGGTACCAATAACTAATACACGTAGCTTCTCTCGACCAATGTACTATCCCAGTGTCACACAATCCAAAAACCGCTCGTGCTCGTCTAGCATTGCCCACACTATTCTTGTTCGTACAACAGTAGTATGGCCTAGACTAGTGTGAGTTTCTGCTCAACACAACCTCTTTTGTTCGGCATGGCGTTTTCTTCGCCTCATAACCTTGATATGTACGGGTTGCTTCTGTGGCTTTTGAAAAGCAGCCACTCACGGGGCTGGTTCTGTGCGCCAGATACGGCCTCTTTTCATACCTTCCACAAGGATGAGGTACGGAAACCGTGGCCACTCTTACCATTCGGCGCTTGTTTTGTTTTTTTTCAGCGTAGCTGGCAACGTAGCTCGCTTCGGCTTAAAAAAACAGCTAAGCTCAGTTGCTTGGGGAGTGGCTCGAAAACCCAATGATTCGTTTGCTCGATACCCGACGCGCAGGGTGTTCGGAAATAAAAACTCCGGACCGAGGAACGTAACGGTTATTCCTCCTGCGTTACAAATTCCGTGCCTAAAAAGGCAAACTAGTTTTGATCAGGAAGCCATGATTCATTACAGACTACGGTAGGATTTAGGACACATGACTAAAAGCAATTATCTTTAGGTATCATCAGCAGGCACATAATCAAAGCAACCAGCTTTAGGTATCGGTACGGAAAATCCCCATACTAAAATATCAGGACTTTACAGTACAATTTATGATTATCTTATGACCTGCTGAAGAAACCAACAGTTGCCTTGTTATCTACTCTAAGCGTATGGTTTCTTCCACCCACAGCCGCACCACACTCAGGACAACACACCTCCTTCATTGCCTGACCACAATCCCCAATGACGTACACATGCCCATTGTGGCACCGGTACCAGTGATCCCCTCCCGATACCATAGCTTCAAACTCCGTTGAAAAAACCAGTGGCCGGGGTGTTACCTTCTCGAAGCCTGTGGCTCGTCCCACCGACAACCTCCCCACACTCAGGGCAGCGCGACTCCTGCATTGCCCCACCACACTCCCCAATCGCATACACATGCCCATTGCGGCACCGGTACCAGTGATTCCCTTCCAAGCCCACTGCCTTGAAAATGTCGGCCTTCTCGCGCTCAGTCACATCAAAGTAGCGCGGGTCGTCGCGAACAGATTGCTCCAGATCATGCAAGTCTTTCTCGAGCATACTCCTTGCACTCCCCCCAAGCCTGTCGTTCTCTCTGACTGACGCCAGATGGTGTGTCGCCACCATGTGGCACTGAATCTTGGCCTTCTCGAGATACTCTAGCTGCTGCTTCTTTGACTCATCCTGCCATGTAAACCACCACGGTGCATATGAGGCCAGGTACTTTGCTGCTGCTTTGACGGACTGCATATGTAGACCACCATGAGCCATAGGTCCAGAAAACGCAAAACATATCATAATTACCAGAAAAACAAAGGGGAGGGAGTGGAGAGGGGAGAGAGAGGGGGGAGGGGGAAGAGGAAGGGGGAGGTTGGAAGAGAGGCAGACGAGGATAAGAGCAGTGCAGTCCTCTCACCAGGCCAGCAGGGGAAGTAGACAGCAGGCGTTCCGCCATCATCCCTTCCACGAACGCACAGAACAAATCAACCATCTCCAGCCTCCCCCTCGCCTCCAGCCGATGTGCCTTGCGCTTGCCAGCCCACTCCACAGCCTCCCCCACATGCCTCTCTGCACTCCCCAGCACCTTACACACAACCTCCCTGCAATTCTTCACCCTCCGCGCCAAAAACTCCGCCCTACCCGTGCTGGTTTTAACAGTCTGACCAGCATTTTGACCAGCCAAATCGCGGACACCTTTCAGCAGGCAGCGCAGCTGGAAGAAATTGGCAGACATGAGAAGCTGGTAGGCCTTCCCCAGCATCATGAGCGCTTCACAGAGGGGCCGGGGGTCTGGCTGGGGGACATATAGCAGCTGGCACTCCTCCTCCCACGCTGAGGCTGATGATGAAACGGCACCTGGACCTGCAGAATCTTCAGGTGAATCTGCAGGTGAATCTGCGCCGGATGACGATGCACCCAGCTGCAGGTGCTTTCTCTGCAGCGCGGCCACAGAAGCCTGGTAGGTCTGCTGGGTGGGCGGATCCATAGCCGTCACTCGCACCTTGCTTGCCTGCACGACCAGTGAAGTCGCAGCTTTAGCCAGCTCCTGCAACTGCCTGGGTTGAGCAGCCTCAGGGCAGGCAGATATAGCTTGGCTCAGCCTGGACAGCTTTGTCTGGAGCTGCTGCTGGTCTGCCAGGCAGCTGAGGGCGAACTTGCGCTCTGATTCGTCCAGCAGCGCCTTGTTCACCATCCGGCCGTACCGGCGGAGGCCTGTGATTGGTTGGCGGCACTCGGGGCAGCCCTTGAGGGCGGACAGACCGCCATCGTCGAACGGCCGCACTGCCACCCACTCACCTGCAGCAGCTTCCGATGCACCTCCTGCCCCACCTTCAGCCCCACCTCCCACCCCGCCTCCAGCCCCGCATCCAGCAGCACTGCTGCCACCAGCAGACTCATCATCATCTTCTTCTGACTCTTGGTAAACCTGGTTCAGACCCAGGTGGCCGTCCAGAGTCTCCACAGTGTAAGCATGCCCGCACGGCAGCACCAGCACAGGGCTCTCATCCGGATCTATCTCCCCTAGCGTCTCCAGAGTGACTAGATCCACCGTCATATCCCTCTTCTCCTCCTCCCCACACCCTTCAACCGTGCAGAACCCCTTCGGAGGGCATTTCTCGGAACAGAGGGACGGGCACTGGTGGCCGCATTTGAGTTTTTTCTCGCACCGCTGCTCGCACGGGAGGCGGTCGCAGGGGGCGCCGCAGGGGAGCGAGCACCGGCCCTGGTGCTTGCAGTGCCACCCGCAAGGCTCGGCGCAGGGCGCGCAGGTTCGGTGGCAGGGTTGGGGGCAAGAGCTGTGCTGGCAGGCCACGAGACACTTTTTGATGCAGGGCTTGCAGGGGGTGCCGCGGTGGCAGGGGTCCGGGCAGAGGTGCGCGCAGGGGAGCGGGCGATTGCATGGCTGCGAGCACTTCTTGTGGTTTTTCTCCAGCTTCTCCAGCTGCTGCTGCTGCTGCTGCTGCTGCTGCTGCTGCTGCTGCTGCTGCTGCGGCAGGTGCTGCAAGCCACGCCCCTGGTTGGTGGTAGTAGTAGCTGGAGCAACGATGCAGTGACCACAGGGAGAGATGCAGGTGTGGCCGCAGGAGTCTGAGAGGAAGACCCCGCAGCGAGCGGTGCAGTGCTTGGGGTTGGCTACTCTGGTGGCGGCCTCACCACACTTGATTGTCTGCTTGTGCCCGCACAGCGGCATCGTGACCTCCACCATAAAACTGGCACAGTGGGAAGTCAAGGGGGGAAAGCAACAAAGGTAGACATGAGAACTCCGCAGCGAGCGGTGCAGAGCTTGGGGTTGGCTACTCTGGTGGCAGACTCGCCGCACTTAACTGTCTGCTTGTGCCCGCACAGCGGCATTGTGACTTCCACCATAAATCTGGCAACACGGAGGGGAGGGCGTGGGTGAGAGAAGAATGGAAGGGCGTGAGAGAAGCACGACACACACCACCCTAAACCGCAATGGAGGGACGCTGGAGAAAGGAGGAAGAAACAAGGGTGGGACAGGAAAAGCGGGATATAGGCTAAGCAGCAAACAGGCAAAGCAGGAAACAGGGAACAGTGCAAAACGAGCCAATCGCAGAAGACAGCGAAAGGGGGCTGAGAAACTCACGAGCAGAAAATGGAAGTGGGCTTCTGAGCCTTGAAGCAGGGCACATTGAAGGCCTGATGGCCGCAGGGGAGTGTGAGTGCCCGGATGGTGACGAGGCAGGGCCCACAGTCCTCGCCACACTGCTTGGGGCACGTGTGCTGGTGCGGACACTCCTCCAGCGGGCGAATGCGGTTGCACTCCTTGGGGCAGAACGCATTGGCGTGCGCCCTGTCGTCACCATGGCACCTGTCGGGTGAAAGAGGAAGGAGAGAGGTTCTAATTTGTGTGTGTGCTGGTGCGGGCACTCCTCCAGAGGGCGAATGCGGTTGCACTCCTTAGGGCAGAACGCGTTGGCGTGCCCTGTCGTCACCATGGCACCTGTTGAACAAGGATTGACGGCAAAAAGGGTGATATATCTGAGGAGTGTATAGAGCACGTGTGCTGGTGCGGACACTCCTCCAGAGGGCGAATACGGTTGCACTCCTTGGTTGGACAGAATGCATTGGCATGCGCCCTGTTGTCGCCATGGCTCTTGTGAGGTGCAGGAAGAAAAACCAACGATCACGAAACCCCCTCTAGAAAGGATTTCACCTTGACTTTGAAAGCACGGGTATAAGTAAACAGTTACACGCACATATTTCGGACAGTAGTTGCACAAGATGCATGTATGTATTTCTGACCTGCGAGGGCAGGTGTGGCCGCAGGGAGTGAGTCGGAAGCCGCACATCTGGGAGCATCCGCCCTCACTGGCCTTCTCCTTGAACTCCCCCGCTCTCTCAATATGCGTCACCGTGTCGGGGTGGTTCACACAGCGCAGCGGAATGAACTTCTGAACGCGCCCCTTGCTCTCCAGCATGTCCATTATCCTGGGCCAGAGGACCGACTTGGAGGTAGCTGCGCACATGGTGCTGGCGTTGCCTGCTCTCACGTTGGATATAGATGATGGGAGAAGGAGGGAGCAGGGAGAAGGGAGGAGGGAGAAGGGAGGAGGGGGAAGGGGAAAGGGAGAAGACGACAGGAGATGGAAGGGGGAAGGGAGTAGGGAATATGGAGGGTGTCGACTAAGAACTAGACCTTATAGTACGGCTGTGGTTTACACAGCACAGCAGATTGAACCGCTCAGCAGCACAACACAGCCCACAACACAGCTCTGTGGCATGGTCGCAATTCTCAGGCACAACACGCCCTTGCAGGGTATCTTTTGGATTTCAGACAAGCTCTGCAACTTCTTGGAAGTAGGCGCCCTCATGGTGCCACGCACTCACCAGCATTCACCAGTGATACACTTGCCGTGCACTCACCAATGATGTACATGCCATGCTTGGCGCGGGAGAGCAGCACGTTGGTGCGGTTGGGGCTCTTAAGGAACCCGATCTTGCCATCCCCGTTGTTCCGTACGAGCGAGATGATGATCACCGTGCTCTCCTCGCCCTGGAAACTGCACGTCAGCAACATCAGTACACATACATATGCAGAACAAGACATCAGCATCCCGTTCCTCCGCTGTGTTGCTCCATACTAACCACCCATACTGTTCCAGCAACACACGTACAGTATGTGGAACATGTGCGGCTGGAACAGTATGGCTGTGTTGCTCCATACTAACGACCCATACTGTTCCAGCCACACATTTACTTGTCCACAGAGGCCAGCGGAACTGCATCCTTCAGATCAAATCCAGCAAACTCCACCCCCAGCCCTTTTCCCTGCCCTTTCCCCCAGCCCTTTTCCCTGCCCTTTCCCCCAGCCCTTTTCCATGCCCTTTCCTCCAGCCCTTTTCCCTGCCCCTCTCCCCCCCCCTTTTCCCTGCCCCTTCCCTCATCCCTTTTCCCTGCCCATTCCCTTTTGCCACTGAATTTCGTATCTGATAAACACTTACTTGTCAACAGTGGCCAGCCGAACTGCATCCTTCAGATTCGCCGTAAACGCCTTCGGCGCAGCAAACTCCAGCCCCAGTCCCTTCCCCTTCCCCACAGAACTCCCCGCCGCCTCCCCGCCCCCAGCCGCCTCCCCCCCAGCTGCACCTTCCCTGGTAGCCACCTTCTCCTCTGCCTCCTCCACCACCTCTGCATCGCCCTCCCCCAGGCGCACATTCACCACCTGAGAAAGCGCCTGGCGCAGCTTCAGCAGCTGCCCGACATAGGGCGTGAGGATGGTGATTTCGCCTCCCGTGTACCCCTGCTGCAGGAGGTACGTGGCGAGGGCGACCACCATGGCTGCCTCGCCCGCGTTGGACTTGGACTTGCCCTCCCTCAGGTCGTCCCCTCCTGTCTCAGGGAAGTTGTGGTCCCAGAAATGGAGATTCGCCGCCATGCCCCTCACGTCTGGGTAGCTGGGGAGTGGGGGGGAGGTGGGGAAGGAGGGAAAGCCGGGGGAGGGACGGGAAGGAGGGAAGGAGGGCGTGAGGATGGTGATCTCCCCTCCCGTGTATCCCTGCTGCAGGAGGTAGGTTGCGAGGGCGACCACCATGGCTGCCTCGCCCGCGTTGGACTTGGACTTGCCCTCCCCCAGGTCGTCACCCCCTGTCTCAGGAAAGTTGTGGTCCCAGAAGTGCAGATTGGCCGCCATGCCCCGCACGTCTGGGTACCTGGGGAGAGGGGGGAGGGAGGGAGGGAGGTAGGGCGTGAGGATGGTGAATTCCCCTCCCGTGTACCCCTTCTGCAGGAGGTACGTGGCGAGGGCCACCACCATGGCTGCCTCGCCAGGAGCACAGGAGGGAGGAGGGAGGGAGGGAGGAAAAAAGAGAGGCAGTTTGACAGGCAGGGATGGAGGAAGGCAGGCAGGGATGGTCCTTCAGATGGGGATATATATTCTATGTGGTACCGAATTGAACATATTGGTACCATTCTACATACCTATGGAGCACAGCATGGATGGATCATGGACACAACAAGAGGAGATGACGCTACTACTCTGCAGGTGGAGACTGCCATGTCTCTCATGGCAGACATACATACATACCCTGGGATGAAGGTTCAATTTTGAGAAGTTTCCAAGCGAACCTACAAGCAAAGGGGTTACTGCAATGCAATGGATACTGCCATGTCTGTCAGACGTACATACCCTGAGACGAAGCGCGCCCCCCAGACAGCAGGTATGTCAGTCAGTCAGACACAAGGAAAAACGTACCCCTGCACAAACGGGTGGTCTTTAAGGTCCGGGTAAATGGTGTAGCGAATGAGGTCGGCAATCTCGGGGCGCATGCGGCGCTGTGTGGCGAGCGTGTACACGGGGATCTGCTGGGAGAGAGCCTTGCTCAGCCCAGGGGGAGCAGCCAAGGGCGACAACGAGGGCACTGGGACAACAGGCATGTCCCAATAGGAAGAAGCCTCACCTCTCAGAAACAACCATACCGTACCCTTGGACAAAGGGGTGATCTCGGAGATCCGGGTAGATGGTGTAGCGGATGAGGTCAGCAATCTCGGGGCGCATGCGGCGCTGCGTGGCGAGGGTGTACACGGGGATCTGCCGGGAGAGGGCGAGGCGCTCAAAGAGAGAGACGTCCAGGTCGAAGCCCTTGTGGGAGTCCTTGCTCAGCTCGTACACCTCCACCTTGGGCCGCAGCTGCTTGTGGTCGCCTGAAAGAGTGGGGTGGTCAGAAGAACGGTAAAGGGTGGGGTGGTCAACAAGGGAGTCATTTTTCAGCTCGTACACCTCCACCTTGGGCCGCAGCTGCAGGTGGTCGCCTGAAATAATGATGGGGCGAGCAAGGCACAAGAATGAGTAGGGGATTAATGGGGAATGGGTGAGTCCTTGCTCAACTCGTACACCTCCACCTTGGGCCGCAGCTGCAGGTGGTCTCCTGTTGTATATGGGCAAAGGAGGCAATAGATGGGTGGGTGGGGTGGTTACCAAGAGAGTGCAAGTCCACCTTAGGCCGCAGCTGCCCGAGGGTGCTTTGAGTCGACTCAAAACACCTTAGGCCGCAGCTGCAGGTTGTCCATGGGGATGCACTCATGTGCACCGTGGCATCGACACGGCTTTAGAAGTAGCTAGCCACAGGCCACAGCCCATGGTGTTTTTTGAGAATTCTAAAAAAACACTCGCTAGAAGTAGCTAGCCACAGGCCACAGCCCATGACGTACCGATCAGAATAACATGTTGTGTCTGCGGGGTGAGGGACGTGAGCATGTGGGCCTCCACTCCAGCCCTCAGCAGCCTCGCGGGCCGAGCGCCGTGATGAGGCGCTGCATCTTGGCATTGGTGCTTGCCATTGTGATCACCCCGGACGTCGTCATCCATCCCACCACCTGCGCCCAGGCTTGCCACACCACACCTATGCCAGGCAGGCCCACTTGCGTTGAGTCCTGCCATACCCATGCCCTCACCACTCAGGTACCGACAACAACAACCACGTACCGATGAGAATAACATGCTGCGTCTGCGGGGTGAGCGAGGCGAGGATGTGGGCCTCCAGCACCTCAGCAGCCTCCTCCACGATGATGACTCGCGGGCCGAGTGCTGTGATGAGGCGCTGCATCTCAGCATTGGTGCTTGCCATCATGATCACCCCCGGACGTCATCATCCCTACCCAATGCGCTCAGGCTTGCCACACCCATCCTATGAGCCTATGACCACTCAAGCACCCACAACAACAACCACAGCCCACAGCGTACCTATAAGAATGACATGCTGTGTCTGAGGAGTGAGCGAGGTGAGAATGTGGGCCTCCAGCACCTCAGCAGCCTCCTCCACGATGACAACTCGCGGGCCGAGTGCTGTGATGAGGCGCTGCATCTTGGCCACCCCAGACGTGGTCATGCCCACCACCTGCGCCCTCCTCAGCACCTGCAGATCCTCCACCTGCTGCAACTCACTGCGCTCCCTCACCTTCCTGCACGTTTCGAATGCACACCACACACACACACAGAACAGATAGAATGATTGTGTGGGTGGGGCCAGCTTGGAAATCAACCCCACCACCTGCGCCCTCCTCAGCACCTGCAGATCCTCCACCTGCTGTAGCTCACTGCGCTCCCTCACCTTCCTGCACTCGCCAGATGCACAAACATAAGGCAACAAACGCACAGCCAGAACAGCTTAGTACGACTGAGTAAGACCAGCCTGGAGGCTGCAGGTCTTCCATCTCCACCTCCTCCACCAACACCCAGGCCCTCCGCACCACATTTGGCACCACCCTCATCACCACCGTCAGCACCCATACCTACATCATATTACTGAGTAAGACCAGCCAGGAGGCTGCAGGTCTTCCTCCTCCACCTGCACCACCACACGCACCTAGCATAGTTTGCCACCTGCCCCTCAATGGCAGCAGTGGCAGTGGCGCGCAGCTCCCCCACCCAGAACGCCACCAGCTTCCTCCTCTCCCGCCCACGGGTCCCCCACCCCTAACAGCTCCTCCACCCCCCGGTCACTCTGTTAGAATATAGCCTATGATGTTATACTTGTGCTAGTGTTACACCCAATTCTGGGTGTACACTTTGTTCGAGGGCCCCAAACCACTTTGGTTTGGGGCACCCCAACCCCCCCCCCCTATGCCACAATTATTGGGGGCCACTTTGGTGGCCCTTGCCAACCAATTATTGGTCCGCCAATAATTGGTGGCTCACCCCAACCATTATTGGGTAACCAACAATGTTGGCCAACCAATAATTCTGGGAGCTCACCTCCTTGTCTCCTCGCTTTTCTTTCTCCTATGTAAGCCCAACGTTTCCTTAATACAATCAACACTTTAGTTTCTCACACACTCGCCTCATCCACCCAGCAAGCACTGCGACCTACCTCAACACCACTACAATTACCACCACCACCGACCTTCACACTGCAAGCAGCACCAGCCATACCTTGAATAGTTCGCCACCTCGGCCTCAATAGCAGCAGTGGCAGTGGCGCGCAGCTCCCCCACCCAGCAGCCACACACACCCCTTAGTAAGGGGGCCATACCTGGAGTAATTCGCCACCTCGGCCTCAATGGCAGCAGTGGCAGTGGCGCGCAGCTCCCCCACCCAGAAATCCACCAGCTTCCTCCTCTCCTGTCCACTCGTCGCCCACGGGTCCTCCAACCCTAACAGCTCCTCCACCCCTCTGTCACTTCTCTCATCCACCTCCGGACCCGTCCACACCTCCTCCTCCACCACCTCCTCCTCCTTCCCCTTGCTCCCGTGCCCCTGCTTGATGCCTTTCTTCCCCCTGCTGCTGCCTTGGCTTCCCCTGCCGTCAGAACCGCCATGGGGTTGATTCATGCCGTGGCCTCGCCTGCCGTCGTGAAAGCCCAAGTCACCGAACGCATGTGAGAGGTCCTGCTCCATGGGGAACCCTCCTGCCCCTCCAGCCCCTCCTGCCCCGCCTGCTCCTCCTGCCCCACCTGTTCCTCCTGCTCCTCCTGCCCCTCTCGCTCTGCCTGAAGGCACAAGGCCTAGCCACGAATCATCAAGGCCGGTGCCTGCCTCTCCATCCCCACCACCACCACTGCCATCCTCCTCGTAGAAGGTAGCCATCATGCCCACCATTTCGCTCAGCTCCTCACTCACTCCGCCGTCCCTCGCACTGCTTGCACCCACCCACCCCTCCCCAACCTCGAACTCACCAAGGAAACCCAGGGCATCAAACGCGTTCTGTGTGCCCGCCTGTTGTCCAGAAGCTGCTATCCCCACTCCCCCTACTCCCATTCCCCCTCCCTGTGGCGACACTCCTGCCCTTCCCCCTCCCCCTCCGCCTCCCTTCCCCCTGCCGGATACATGACCTTGATCCCCCCATGTGTCACCAGCACCTTTCTTGCGGCGAAGGGTTTCCTTGGGCAGGCCTTGCTTCCACCGCTTCCAGTTGTCTCGCCCCACTTGCTGCCAAGTGAACAGAAAGGGAGAGCAGGAGAACAAGGCGTGGTGATCAGTTGGAGAAACTGCATCATAAAGTGATCTGTGAGGCGCCTGTATACTGGCTCCAGTTGTCTCTCCGCACCTGCTGCCAAGGGAGCAGGGAAGCGCGGCTCTAACATCCACACCTGCATCGGTTTTTTTCCTTCGGGGAGAAAAGAAAAAAATAAAAAAAAGAGAACCAAAACGAAGCGCAGATACGTGAATTGTGGTATCCCGCGCAACCTCCTTTGCACAAGCGCGCTATCGTGACCTGGGAGGTGCAGTGCGGTGCATTCCAAAGAACACAGGGTGGATAGATAGCCATAAGGTGCTATCCACCCCCTCCTGACCTGGGAGATGAGGTGCATTGACTCAACGTAGAATACAATACATCCACCCCTCATGAGGTCTGCCTTTCCACTCACCCACTCACCTCAATCAAACCCGTCGCTGTCTGCCTTGCTGACGGTGCGCAGAGCTTGGAAGAAGACAGGTAGGTTGGCCATGAGGTGGGAGGATATGGAGCGCCACAATACAGCGCCCATCCGCCCTTCAGCCGCCATCTGCCCTTCAGCCGCCCATCCGCCCTTCCACTCACCCATACACACTTACCTCGAACCCGTCGCTGTCTGCCTTGCTGACGGTGCGCAGAGCCTGGAAGAAGACAGGGTGGTTGGCCATGAGGTGGGAGGAGAGAGTACCCCACGCCACAGCCACCCACCCGGCCTTCCACCCTCCCATTCACCCACCAACACACACACACACACACGCACCTCAAACCCGTCCTTGTCTGCCTTGCTGACGGTGCGCAGAGCTTGGAAGAAAACGGGGTGGTTGGCCATGAGGTGGGAGGAAATATAACCCCACGCACGCCACAGGCCCGCCCTTCTACCCATCCACACACACACACGCTTACCTCATAACCATCAGCATCTGCCTTGCTGACAGTACGGAGGGCTTGGAAGTAGACGGGGTGATTGGCCATGAGGTGGGAGGAAATATAACCCCACGCACGCCACAGGCCCGCCCTTCTACCCATCCACACACACACACGCTTACCTCATAACCATCAGCATCTGCCTTGCTGACAGTACGGAGGGCTTGGAAGTAGACGGGGTGATTGGCCATGAGGTGGGAGGAAATATAACCCCACGCACGCCACAGGCCCGCCCTTCTACCCATCCACACACACACACGCTTACCTCATAACCATCAGCATCTGCCTTGCTGGCAGTACGGAGGGCTTGGAAGTAGACGGGATGATTGGCCATGAGGTGGGAGGCGATAGTACCCCATGGCACAGGCGCCACGTTGTCGCTGCGCTGCTGCAGGGCGTCACTGTACGTGCCTATCACCTCCTCCACCTCCCTTAGCTTGCTTCCCACCTCGTAGCTTGATTGCCTGTACGCTGCTCTCACACACCGACAGACGCACACACACACACAAACACGACTTGTCAGGTAATTGAGAATGAACCCAATCTTCACAATACAAGTAGTTCGTTTGTGTCACAAGATTCCAGTTCAAGGCGTATCAACAGTAAAAAAAAAAAAAGAACAAAAGGAAGGAATTAGTGCCGTGCAGTGCTGTGGTGCTCACTTCTGCTGCGATCCAGATTCGAGCTTCGGATGATATTGAGAAGGTTGTACTCTTGGAGAACCTCCGACTTGCTCCTTCCTCCCACTCGCACCACCTGCAAAGGACATGACGCATGGCACAGCAAGAACCACGCAGTAAGAATCACAGCAGGGGTCCCAGACCAAAGACACTGCATACAGATGCAGAGGCTTGTAGAAAAAAATAAGAAACCTGCCAACGACCCATTCATAAGCCAAAAAAACCAACTTACAGCAAGAACCGCAACATACATGAATCGATCCAAGAGGGGGAGCTGTGGAACCCAGTCTATACCTCACGTTCTTGATGCCACTGACGATCAAGCCTTCCAAGAACTGATCCAGAGCGTGGTTGGCGGAACGGACGCACAGGATTGTGATGTGAAGCAATCGGATCAACCAGCACTGGCAGAGGTGCTGCAGCACTCATGTTCTTGATGCCACTGGTGATCAGGCCCTCTAGGAACTGATCCAGTTGATCAAACACACGCATAGGATGGGCCCCACAGGAGGGCTAAGACTCAATAACAACCCGCCCAACCAAGCACGACCCCTTGCATCAACTCACGTTCCTGATGCCGCTGGCGATGAGGCCTTCGAGGAACTGATCCAGAGTATGGTTGGTGAAGCACACGCACAGGATGGGACTTGCAGGAGGGAAGGGACTCTCTACCCAGCCATCCCAGCACGAACCCTGCAAAGCTTTTCAACTCACGTTCTTGATGCCGCTTGCGATGAGGCCTTCCAGAAACTGATCCAGAGCGTGGTTGGTGAAGCACACGCACAGGATGGGCCCCGCGGAACTCGCCAGCTCCCTGCCTCGAGCAAAATGACCTGCCGAGCTGCTCTTGAGTGGATTGCTCAGCAGAATCTCCACAAGTTTGATCCCCACGAACGTCTGCCACGTGAATATACAAGAAAGTGTGCAGCATAGCATGCCCACAGCACCATAGGAATGAGCTTTTGTGTGAAGCCTGCACAAAACTTAATAACGGGTTTGCAATACATAATCGCGATTCAGAGCAAAACGAAGACTCTGGTTTTCAACCAACCCACCTTGCCAGCCTGTCCCCCTCTCACCTACCCCCCTCTCACCTGCCCCCTTCTCAACTACTTCCTTCTCACCTGAGCGAACTCCTGAGTGAGGGCAGCCTGGAGCGCCGCAGCTTGGGGTTGGTCCAGCGACGCTTCTTAGCCTCCCAGCTAGATGTCACAGCTCGTCAATCCCTACATTCACCCATTTTCGAGCCGCCTCACCCCTCACTTGCTCATGCATCCCACCTTGCCAGTTCCCGGGGGCCCTTGCAGCAGAGCGAACTCCTGAGTGAGAGCAGCTCGCAGAGCCACAGATTGAGGTTCGTCCAGCGACGTGCAGCGCAGGAGAGCATCAATCCTTGCATCCAATCACTCACTATTTAGAACGCCTACCAATCACCCACCTTGCCAGTTCCCGGAGGGCCTTGCAGCAGAGCGAACTCCTGCGTGAGGGCAGCTCGCAGAGCCACAGATTGAGGTTCGCCCAGCGACGTGCAGCGCAGGAGGGCATCCATGGGGAAGGCGGTGGGGCTGGAGATCATCACATTCCTGATGGCGAACTCGTCCTCTGGAGCATTCGCTGCCTGCTGGGAAGAGGAGGAAGAGGGAGGCTTGGTCTTGAGCAGCAAGCCCAAGTCGTACCTGCACGGGAACACAAAACAGAGACACACACGGAGGCAATGGGGAAGGCGGTGGGGCTGGAGATCATCACATTCTTTATGGCGAACTCGTCCGCTGGAGCGTTCCCTGCCTGCTGGGAAGAGGAGGAGGGAGGCTTGGTCTTGAGCAGCAGGCTCAAGTCGTACCTGCGAGCAAGCAAGGGAACACACAACACAGACACACACGTGGTTTATTCTCCAGGGGGAAGGCGGTGGGGCTGGAGATCATCACATTCCTGATGGCGAACTCGTCCTCTGCAGCGTTCCCTGCCTGCTGGGAGGAGGAAGAGGGCGCTTTGGTCTTGAGCAGCAGGCTCAAGTCGTACCTGCAGGGGAAAACACACAGTACAGGAACACACAAGAGTGTAGAGAATCCATGGGGAAGGCAGTGGGGCTGGATATCATCACATTCCTGATGGCGAACTCGTCCTCTGGAGCGTTCTGTGGCTGCTGGGAAGAGGAGGAGGAAGGCGCCTTGGTCTTGAGCAGCAGGCTCAAGTCGTACCTATGCAAGGCACACACAACACACGAACAAAGGGAGGATTATTTTCCATAGGGCAGGCCGTGGGGCTGGAAATCATCACATTCCTGATGGCAAACTCGTCCTCTGGGGCGTTCTGTGGCTGCTGGGAAGAGGAGGAAGAGGGAGGCTTGGTCTTGAGCAGCAGGCTCAAGTCGTACCTGTAAGCGAGCAAGGGAACACACAACACACACACACACACACACACGCGGAGGTTTAGCCTTGATCAGGGAAGGCGGTGGAGCTGGTAATCATCACGTTCCTGATGGCGAACTCGTCCGCTGTAGCGTTCCCTGCCTGCTGGGAGGAGGAGGAGGGCGCCTTGGTCTTAAGCAGCAGACTCAAGTCGTACCTGCACGGGACCACAAAACACAACACAGGGACACACGGAGGCAATGGAAAGCGGTGTGGCTGGAGATCATCACATTCCTGATGGCAAACTCGTCCTCTTGAGCGTTCTGTGGTTGCTGGGAGGAGGAGGAGGAGGAGGGCGCCTTGGTCTTGAGCAGCAGGCTCAAGTCGTACCTGCAAGGAAGGGAGCAAACAACGAGTTAGGCGGAAGTTTACTCTCAATGTGTTAGGCGGTAACGTTTGAAATCATCTCGTTGCTGATGGCAGATAAGTCCACTGGAGCGGCCTGCGCCTGCTGGGTGGATGCGGGCAAAACCGTACCTGCACCGTGCACCAGGCGCACACAAGTCTATAGCATCTGAGAGACTCTTCGCCATGCTCAAGTCATACCCCCGGAAAACAGACAATAGACATTCCTCGATCAAAATGCTGAGAAGCCGTGTCACTGCCAGAATGATGATAAGTTAACGTGTGCCTATGCCTCCTCCCATCAGCCCCTCGTCTCCAGCATCACATTGCACGGCCCCCTTAATACTCCCCCTTCCCACTCACATCCCGATGAATTTAGAGTCGACTCCAAATGTCAGCCCACCTCGCCACTCTCCCATTCAGCCCCTCCAGCATCACATTGCATACCCCCCTCAATCCTCCCCTTCCCCACTCACATCATGCCACCTTTGATGTACGCAGGCAGCTTGTACGCTCCAGGTGCCCTCCCAGGTGCCCCTCCAGGTACCCCCCCAGGTGCTCCGCCAGCTGCCCCACAGATGTACTCAGAGAAGGGCAGTGACGTGTCTGTGATGCTCTGCAGCGCCTTCAGAATCGGCTCATACGCAAAAAAACTCCCATGCGCCTCCAACATCACCACCTGTACGCCCTTACTCCCGCCTCTGCCCCTACTGCCGTCCTGAGCAATCAGCTCCAGCAGGTCTGCATTGAACCCGTTCTCCCCGCACGGCTGCACCCCAATCTGCGGCCTGGCAGTGGCGAGCCTCTTCGTATCCCGGGCTGTGATAGTCGCAAAGACGAGCCGGTGGGAGGAAGAGTCGCTCGCTGAAGTGCCTCCCGCAGGGGGGAGCTGCTGCTGCCTGCGAGTGCGGTGAGTGTGGCTGTGCTGGACGTCTCGGATCCACAGGCAGACCAGGGAGCCGTTCTGCAGCCTCCGTGTGTTCTCCCAGAACTCCACCCTAAAACTAAGAAGAGACGCGAGAAAGTGGATGGGCGCAGGCAGAATGTACGTAGCTAACGCATGAAATTGGTTGGAAGGAGCCAAGACTGACGCATGCCTAAGCAAGATTCACTTGTGCAATGAAGGTACGAAGTGCAAGACACCGCGGCATGCGAGGCTCAAGGAAGTCAATTAGAAAGTACACACCGCTCCTCTTGTCCGTGTTGATAGACAGCACATGCACATCCCGCAGCAGATACACGTCCATGTCTTCGGAAGGGAACTCAAACTCACCAAGGCTGAAAAAGCCCAACCTACTAGAGCATGCTTGACATGGGTGAGACACCTAGCGTTGGGTTACCTGTTCCGGGCATTCCGGCCCCGCGGCATGGGAGGCTCAAGGAAGTCAATCAAAAAGTACACGCCGCTCCTCTTGTCTGTGTTGATGGACAGCACGTGCACATCCCGCAGCAGATACACGTCCATGTCTTCCGAAGAAAACCCCACCACGCCCTTCATGTCATCCGTCAGACCCCTCACCAACTCCCTGTCCGCCCTCAACAGCCCCATCGCATCCTCCCTTCCACCACCGCTCCCACTGCTCCCGCTGCTGCTCCCGCCACGAGCATGAAGGGAGGAGGATTCCTGGTTGAGGCGGTGGAAGAGGAAGAGCGCCTTGCTCCAGAGGGGGGCAATCAGGTCGTGGCGGAGCAGGCGGAATTGAATGTCCACGTGGCGGGCCACCGAGCCCGCTGGCAGGTGGTGTGGCTCGCTGGGGTGGTTGTGTGGTAGGTAGGGCGACGCCTTGCAGAGAACCTCGGCCATCGTTGGCGCCACCGAAATCTGGAATCGGGCAAGCGGAAAGGTATCAAGACAGGAGGCGTCTGGTCTGGTCTCTCAGAGTTTTTTTAGATATTTCGAACACCCTTCTGGCAGGTGGTGGGGCTCGTTGGGTTGGTTGTGCGGCAGGTATGGCGAGGACTTGCACAGAACCTTGTCCATCGTAGGAGCCACCGAAATCTGGATTCAGGCAAGGGAGGAGGTATTGGGAGAGGAGGAGTCTGGTCTGATTTCTCCTCGAACACCCCGATGGCAGGTGGTGCGGCTCGTTGGGGTAAACTTGCGGCAGGTAGGGGGTAAGGTAGGTAGGTAGGGGGTGGATTTGCGGCAGGTAGGGGGCAAGGCCTTGCACAGCACCTCCTCCATCATTGGCGCCACTGAGATTTGGAGTCAGGCAAAGAAGGACATAAAGGCCAGGAGGAGTCTGGTCTCGGAGAATACGAATCATCAGGACAGCCGGCGTTTGGTCACAGCTAGGTTCATCTCAACGCAAGCTCGCTGGAGCTCGCTGCCCGCGGGCAAAAAACATAAAACCCTATCGGGCATGCATCCGGTCAGGGAGGCATCAACCCTAAACACCTTGTCGCATGGTGTTTAGGGTTGATGCCTCCCTCCCTCGGATGGCATGCCATCCGATAGGGTTTTACTTTTTTCTGCCCGCCGGTCAGGGCGGCGCTCGTCGACGGATCCGGCGACGAGCGACGCCCGATTTCGTTGAGACATACAGAAGAGAAAATCATCAGGACAGGAGCCTCGTATCAGGAAACAACTGATCAAGGAAGGGGAAACTCATGGAAAAAAAATATTAGGATCAAACCAGAAATGGTTTTATTGTCATCAATGGCTGCCATGCCAAGTACATCAGATCAGACCATGACCAATATCTTACAGCTGAAATCTCAAGATGGTCGTTGTCATGCCTTGGTCGGCCATCCAAGCTGAGCTCGCCCGGACCATCCACAGCTTGCATGCTGGACGGATGCTGACCTGCACGACACATGGTTCACAGCAGCCAGAATTTCAAATTATTTGTGTCATGAACATCAAATTCGACGATAATCATCTGTACGTCAAACATTTCACATCAACATCTGATCAAAGCAGCAGCTCACGGCACTGCACGAATGAACCTGAAGGGAAGAACTCGGCATGCAGCAGCTGCCCTTCCTCCATCCTCTGCCGCTGTCTCTCACTCTGCTGCCGCCTATCCAGCGACTTTTGAGACATTCTAAAACTCAACATGCAAAGGCACAGGACAAACGAACCTGAAGGGAAGAACTCGGCATGCAGCAGCTGCCCTTCCTCCATCCTCTGCCGCTGTCTCTCGCTGTGCTGGCGTCTATCCAGCGACTTCCTCAACCTGTAGATCACCGAGCGAATGCTGTGGTACTTCCCATCAAACACCGGCTTCTCCCTCTGCCACTTCTCCAGCATGCCTTCCAGCTCCTGCATGTCAGCACTGGCTTGTGCTGCGTCGAAGAGAGAATAAAATCGATCCATGGTGAGGTTGAAGAAGCTGATGATGACGTGGAATGCTGCGTCCCAGTCGGTGATATTGTCGTCGTCCCGTGACAGGTCGCGGATCATCCCGCGTTGGGTGAGGAGGCGCATGCAGCCGATTAGGTACTCCTGGAGTCCTTCCACCTCGACGATTGCTGCTAGGGTTACGTTCACTTTGCTGGATGCAGGATTGTTGAAAAACTCGGGCTGCAAAATACCATTTCCAAGAATGAAACTCGGGAAAATCATATGAGCTTTCTAAAAAACATAGAAAATGAATTAGAGCAAAAGAATACCATGTTCTAGCGGAATTTCCAGCAGAACTGCAAGCGGAATTGCAGGACGTTACCTGACAGATGACCCTGAGCATGGGCAGAATCACGCCCTGGAAGGAAACGAATCGGCTGTGATTCCCAGCAGACACGGATCTAGACGGACCGCAAGCCACGGCCTCCCTGCAGATGCTAACCACCTTCTTTCTGCCAAACAGCTTGTCGTCAGCGAGCACAATCACCAGGTCTGCAGAAACGGTTTGGGATTCACAACAATACGATGTTATTTTCCGAGTCGACTTAGAAGGCTTTCTGCCAAACAACTTGTCGTCAGCCAGCACAATTACCAGATCTGCAGAAACGGTTGGAATCAACAGAAATAATTTCCTGATGTCAGTATCGTTGACTGACAACTTGAAAGCAGCAGTAACAACACTCCAAAGGACAATCTGTCATCATGTGATGGTTGAAAAAAATGTTGAAGTACCTGAAGCGTCATGAGCTTCCATCGCGTTGACGAAACTCCTCATCTGAGACTGATTCAGAAAATCTCTGTCGTTCGGTAGGAAGGACCACAGGGTAGGCCCCCCTCTCCTCTCATGTCCGTCTGAACTGGACGTTCCTCCTCTTCCTCCTCCCCCTCCTCCTCCTCCTCTCCCCCCTGCCCCTCCTCTCCCTCCTCCGCTACCTTCTCCTCCTCCTCTTCCTCCCCTTCCTCTCTCACCTCCCCCCCGTCCGCGGCCTCCCTCATAATTGTGATTCTGATGATCAGATTGCCGCCCTCCTCTGCCTCCTAAGATTCCCCGTCCGCCATGGTTCCAGCCTCTTCCCCTGCCGCCTCCTCTATGGAAACCGAACTGGTTATCCATGGCTCTCAAAACTCTAGGCGAGTGTTCACCAGGTACGGTACGACCCAAAAAAACTTCTCTAGTTGAGAGTGTTCGAATTCTGGCGTAGGACAGTCTTGCTCTAGGTGTACTCTAGCGGCACAGAAGAATCAGCATGGGTGGGTGTTCCAGGTCCGACCTAGAAGGCTCTGCTCTAGGAGAGTGTTTCAGGGCCGACGTAGGACAGTCTGCTCTAGGCCAGACTGTTTCGAATGAGGTCAATTTCTTGTTCTAAGATAGGTTCAATTTCACACTTGCTCACCAGCAGCAGAGCCCCCATCAGTAGCCCCACCAGCACAAGCAGTGCCAGTGAGCTGATGTGAAGCACATCTGTTCCGAACTCATTCGATTATCTGGTAACTGCTTGTGTCCAAATTTCTCAAACGATATCCATTGATGTCCAGCAGATCGACGAATTTCCGGCGTTCTGACATGTGCTCTCCGCTTTTGTCACTTCCACCACGGGGTGAATGTGCCCTGAATCGATGCTGGGGGATGAGTGGAGAGGCCCAAATTTGACTATGGCCGTTTCTATTCGCTGGATTTCCCGTTTTTTGCCCGTTTCCCTGCCCGCACCTGCCCGCACTAAGCACTTTCAACACCCCTCGACATCTCCAAGGGGTCGGGGATGTCGAGGCTGAGTCTCGAGGAGTCGAGGGCCCTTCGAACGCAGACATCTCGAAGAAGCACCCAAACAAATCCCGTCCACTTCTGTCAAAACCCGTCAACTTCCCGCATCCCACTTCCGGCATGCTGCAGAACTGGCAAACAAAACGACAGGCTTTGGGAGCTCCTCACGCCTAGATGATTCCGCCTGTGCTATAACGCCTTTCTCACGCCTACTTCACGCCTTGTCTCCGAGGCGGTTTGTGGCATTGCGTGCTGATCAGTTACCACAGGAAGTTGCGTCGCCCCCTTCGCATCTACAAGCAGGTCCCTTAATATTTTAGTATGCTCCTTATAGTTGCACAGAATGATACATACGGATTCCATGGATATGATATCCCGCCAGGAAACCAAACAATATATACATGGTATTCAATAGAAAAATCCTTATCCTCGTGTAATTCCTTGGCATTAAAACATTTATTCTACATTTTTTTCAAGTAGAGAGCTTCTAATTGTTCGGTTGCACACGTACCTATGAATCGAACGTACATGCGAACAACGGATGGAATCGGTTATTCTATGGGAAAACGGTTTCCTCCTTATAGAAGCCTTTCCGCCTCGAGATTGTCATTTGATACTCCAGGTTGGGTCAGCCTTGTCAAAATCAAGGCTATGGTTCAGGTATTCCCACACACCAGCCTAGCATGTCCTAGAATTCCTCCGACATCTCGCTTGTCGGGAGGTTCTCGAGCGGTACACTCTAGTCGTCACCTGTACCGCTACGTTGTTCTGAACCTTGTTCCGTTGCGCCTGGAACTGCGTTTTAGGCCTTGTTATCAGAGAGCCTAACTACAGCGATTTCCATGAAAGGTTGACTTACCGAGCTAGACTGCAGACCGTTAAAGTCGTCGGATCAGTCACGCAGATCGCAGTCAGTCAATGGCGACTGTCGCGAGTCCGCAAGCGCTGTTCGCGAATCCAGGGTCATCGTCACTACCACCAGCAGGCTTAGGCTCTGCAGCGATGACAAGTCAGGGTGGCCCTGATTCGGCCGAGGAGAGAAGGTCGTCGGTTCCGCAGCAGCTATCCTCGGAAGAACTGGCTGCTCAATTGCTGGACGAGCTATTCGGTTCCGACGACGATTCGGTAAGCAGCGTCATTGAAGGTTCGATCAATCAAAGAGCTGGCTGTTCAGTTTCTGAAGAAGATTCTTTTTGTTGCTGGTCAACAGTTTGGCTCTAACAATGATTCGGCAACTTGGAAACGGGAAGCTAGTAGCGGTATACATGCATGCTAACAAAGTTAACCGCCTTCTCTCTTGCCCATTATATGCAGGATGATGCCATGGGGTCTGCACTGCACACAACAGGAGGCGACCTGACTTTCGGCGAAGATGTTGCTGTGTGAGTGAGCACTGAGCCGTTGAGCTTTAGAGCATTAAGCGACATTGTTGAATTGAGGCCCAGAGGCTTTGAGCGCCAAGCCTCTGGAGGCATGGAGCTGTTACGAGCAAGACCATCGTTACCGAACCTGGTCCTTATCGTTTGCATGTGAAGTCATGGCAGCAGGAAAAATGTAACAGGAGTGACGGATTGGCTGGGCCGTGTCCTTGTGTGTTTTTGGTGTTCAGCCAGGCCGTGCCTCATATGCCGTTTCATAGGCTATCACTCTTTACCTTTAACGTATGCACAATTATTAGCTAGTGCACAATAATCTGCCGTTTCTGTGTATCTGACCGTTCTCTTCCTGCAGGGACGAGTCTTTTCTTCAAGGGCTTCGGGAGGACCTGGATCGGTTTAAGGACCACGAGGTCAGTCCTCCTGACTCCTGAGTGATCCAACTGAGTAGTGGAAGTTTTACCGTTTTAACATTTCGAGGACTATCTGCCGCCAGTAGTCAGTGATTCGATGTCACTCCAGATTCCTTATCCAAAGAATGGGATGCGACACTTTGTTAGTGCATCTCCTTCTCTCCGTCTCGCCTTTCCAGGTTGTGTCCAACATCCTAGGTCAAGGCGAGTGCTCGGGAGGTGGAGGAGAAGCTGAGGCAGGTGGAGCTGGAATCTATCCAGTTTTCACACCCACCACAAATAGGGCTTCGAGTGTTTACCTTTTTCCTCTTCTCGCCATTCCAGGTTGTGTCCAACATCCTGGGTCAGGGCAGCGACCTGCGTGAGTTTGCACGGGAGGTGGAGGAGAAGCTGAGGCAGGTGGAGCTGGAGTCGATTCAGGACTACATGAAGGAGAGCGACAACCTGCTGGCACTGCACGCCCAGATCAAGGACTGCGACCTCGTGCTCACCCACATGGAGTCGCTCCTTGGGGGCTTCCAGGTATGAATAGGAGTCTGGTTTTAAGAGAGGTGTTTCTTGGTTGGAGTCTTTCTGCTGCTTCCTCTGAGACCTTATCTGCATAGGACCTTCTTGTTTCATCTCCCATTCACCTATTTCTTGATGCCATAGTACCAGGCTGAAGTTTGCTCAATCCCCTATCCCTCTCACTTGTTCTCTCCGCCCATCCAGGCGGACCTAGGAGCAGTGAGTGCGGTGATCAAGGACCTGCAGGAACGCTTCATGAAAGAGTGTGGTGGTGTCTGGGTTCACCCACCTCTCTCACTCACTCTCCCTCCCTCTCACTTGTTCTCTCCGCCCATCCAGGCGGACCTAGGAGCAGTGAGTGCGGTGATCAAGGACCTGCAGGAACGCTTCATGAAAGAGTGTGGTGGTGTCTGGGTTCACCCACCTCTCTCACTCACTCTCCCTCCCTCTCACTTGTTCTCTCCGCCCATCCAGGCGGACCTAGGAGCAGTGAGTGCGGTGATCAAGGACCTGCAGGAACGCTTCATGAAAGAGTGTGGTGGTGTCTGGGTTCACCCACCTCTCTCACTCACTCTCCCTCCCTCTCACTTGTTCTCTCCGCCCATCCAGGCGGACCTAGGAGCAGTGAGTGCGGTGATCAAGGACCTGCCGGAACGCTCCATGAAAGAGTGTGTGTGGTAGTGTCTGGGTTCACCCACCTCTCTCACTCACTCTCCCTCCCTCTCACTTGTTCTCTCCGCCCATCCAGGCGGACCTAGGAGCAGTGAGTGCAGAGATCAAGGACCTACAGGAACGCTCCATGGGAATGGCTCAGCGACTCAGGAACAGAAGGGTATGTTCTTCCACACACAGAACAACACAGCACAGCACAGCACAGCTCAGCTCACCACAGCACAGCACCGTGCTAGCAATTTTCCAAACGTTTTCTAAAGAGTGGAGTTGAGAGGGACTTGTTGTAAGGCAGGCGCTCCTCCCTCCCTCGCCTCTGCATCTCTCTTTACCCCCCACTCACCGCCCTGTGATTGCCCTCACTCCCGCTCTTCTCCCACCTCCCATCCACAGGCAGCAGAGGGACGTCTGGGGCGGTTCGTGGAAGAAATGGCAGTGTCGCTGGATCTGATAGACACAGTGGCGGAGGGTGAGGTGGGCGAGGGGTACATGCGCGCACTGCAGGCGCGCCTCCCTCCCCCTCTATATCTCTCTTTCCCGTTGTTCTTCCTTGACTTCTGACTCGCCTTTCCCTCCCGATCCCCCTTCCTCCCAATCCACAATCCACAGGCAGCGGAGGGGCGGCTGGGACGGTTTGTGGAAGAAATGGCAGTGTTGCCAGACCTGATCGATACGGTGGCGGAGGGCGAGGTTTGCGAGCGGTAGATGCGCGCGCTGCAGGTGCTGAACCGTTCACTCTCCCTTTGCCTTCCCACCACCCACGCAGGCAGCAGAGGGACGGTTGGGGCGGTTTGTGGAGGAAATGGCAGTGAGTCCGGATCTGATCGACACGGTGGCGGAGGGCGAGGTGGGCGAGGGGTACATGCGCGCGCTGCAGGCGCTGAACCGCAAGCTGCACTTCGTGGCCGAGGAGCCAAGCGCCAGGTCATCTGCTGCTATGAGGGATGTGCAGCCGGAGCTGGACCGCCTGCGAGTCAAGGCAGTGATTAAGGTGGGTGACTGTGGGTGCAAGCAACCTGGTAGGGATCAAGTGCACTTCGTGGCGGAGGAGCCCAGCGCTCGCTCCTCCGCTGCCATGCGGGATGTGCAACCCGAGCTCGACTGCCTGCGCGTCAAAGCAGTGGTTGAGTTGGGTGACTGTGGTGACTGTGGTGACTGCATGGGTATAAGTGAGGGAGAGCGGAAGTGGTGGTGGTGGTTCTTCGTGTACATACATGCTGATGTGCTGTTTTTGTTTGTCTGTTTGCAGGGGAGGGAGTATCTGATGCAGAAGATCTACGCTCTCCGCAAGCCCAAGACCAACATCCACATTCTGCAGCAAAACGTGCTCCTCAAATACAAGTGAGAAAGGGGAGAGCCCTTCAAGTTTTTGAGATTCCTCGCGTTATTCTTGCAAATACAGCATTTCAGACAGTCACATTATCGATGAGGAGCATTGCCCCCTGGAGGTAGCTGTACCGTTTTGGTTGTTATTCTACTCAGGTAGAGGTCAAAATGACGGACACCCTGCTGTTTTCCCTTGTCTCTGCTCAGGTACCTGGCGGTGTTTCTCAAGGAGCATGGGCGCGTGGTGTACACTGAAGTCAATAACGCGTACATAGACATCATGAGCAAGGTAAGGGTTGGCGCGGGGAAATCTATAATCCAATTCATTATGACTGAGAGTCATGTGCTTAGTTTACCTCCTTCCGTTCCTCTCCTCTTCTTCTTCCTTCACCCCTGCCGGTTTCCAGCAATATCAGCTGCTGGCAGTCCATCCCTGTTTCTCACTCTATCTTTGTTATCCTCTCTTTTCTTTCCCTTTCCCCTCCTCTCAGGTGCTCTCTCTCCACCTGCGCACCTACATCTCGTCTCTGGAGAAGCTTCAGCTCGACATTGTCTCACGAACAGACTTAATCGGCGTCGATGACAGCAACAAGCTCGCTCAGACCATCTTTGGCCGTGCAGGGAGGGACCTTAAGAACCGGTCGGCTGTGTTTTCATTGGGCAGCAGAGACCAGGTGAGAGTTTTTTTTTGTTTTTCTAGATTTTTTTAGAAAAACTTTGGCTGTGGGGGAAAGCTTTGTTCTCTATTCCCTCCAATGCTAGTGTGCAACACCTCATCCCGCCAGGTGCTGAGGGACGTGGTGGAACCGGCGATCGTCCCACACATTGCCGCGGAAGCGGACAAAAACAATCCTTTCTTCCTGCCAATGAATTTCTTCGTGCTGGTCCTGCACCCGCCTGCGAATCCTTCCGACCCAACCGAACCGAACCCACCAGGTGCTGAGGGATGTGGAGGAACCGGCGATCATCCCACACATAGCAGAGGCGGACAAGAACAAACACCCCTACGAGGTTCTCTTGAAGTTGTCTATTTCCTCTATTTTTTGCTTGTGTGCAACACCTCCTTCCCACCAGGTGCTGAGGGATGTGGAGGAGCCGGCCATCATCCCACACATAGCGGAGGCAGACAAGAACAAACACCCCTACGAGGTGCTCTTCCGGTCACTGCACCCGTATGAGGTGCCCAATGCCCGCCTGCACCCCCTACCCTACCCTCCTCCATCAGGTGCTGAGGGATGTGGAGGAGCCGGCGATCATCCCACACATAGCGGAGGCGGACAAGAGCAAACACCCCTACGAGGTGCTCTTTCGATCACTGCACAAGCTTCTCATCGACACGGCCACTTCCGAGTAAGCTTGGACCGCGCTTAACCTGCACAAGCTCTATCTTCTAGGCTCCTCAGTTACAAGAACAAACACCCCTACGAGGTTCTCTTCCGCTCACTGCACAAGCTGCTCATCGACACCGCCACCTCAGAGTAAGCTTGGACCGCGCTTAACCTGCACAAGCTCTATTTTCTAGGCTCCTCAAATACAAGAACAAGCACCCCTAGGATGCTTGTTCTTACAGAGGTGGAGTAATTACGCTGGTGCTGCTGCCTGATTGTCGAAGCTGATGTGACTCGTTCTCACCTCTCGCCACCACTTGGTCTCGCGTCTCATCGATCGTTATCTGAGCCACCACCTGTGAGCTGGCTGACACACCACTTACTTCTCCCTCCTTTCCTTCCCTCCAACTGCCCCCGCCAGGTTCCTTTTCTGAAACGAGTTCTTTGGAGACGACTCCACCTAAGAGGCATCCGAAATGCCTCCACCTCCCCTCCACACCTCTCCCCCTTCCTCCAACTGCCCCCGCCAGGTTCCTTTTCTGCAACGAGTTCTTTGGAGACGACTCCACCTTCCATGCAGTCTTTGCAGGTTAGCTGTCTATGGCGCTTGTCTGCCTCTACATTCATTCCTTGCCGTTAGCAAGTCTCTATTTGCTAGATCATGCATGCATCCGAGAGCTGTGCTTTTTAATTGTCATGACCATAGAGCAGAGGCTGTTCAACAAATGGCATCCTTCTCGCCGGCTCGTCCCCTTATCACCCATGCATTCCCCTCCTGGCATGGCAGGTCCCTTTGCTGTAATCGACGAGCACTTTGCAGCTGTTCTTCCCAACTGTTATGATGCCATAGGGCTGCTGCTCATGATCAGGATGACTCGCCAGTTCCAGGTGGGGATTCGCCTCTCCTCCTCAGTAGATAACGGCCGTTTTGTGCCCATTCTTTCTCTCCCTCGCGTCTTCTCAGACAGTGTAACGACCTCATGACCTTTCGTCAGCTTTTGACGCTTCCTTTTAAGGCATCATTTGCCATGGGGCTCGAATCGTAAACCACATTCTCATGTTCACTGTCGTTCTGTGTTGCTGTCGTCGCTCCGTGCATCACAGGACATCATGAAGGCGAGGAAAGTCAACTGCTTGGACCAGTACTTTGACAAGGTGAGAGTGAGGCCAGTTGAGGCTCAGGCCTCGTTTTTTGAGGCGCCTCAAAGCTTGGACCAGTACTTTGACAAGGTGAGAATGAGGCCAGTTGAGGCTCGGGCCTCGATGCTGCGTCTGAGGCTCGCACTGCGAGCCTCAGTGGTGTGTGTAAGGCACGGTGGGTTGTAAGACTAGCCAGATAATGAGGTGTTTCGTAAAATCCTTCACCCTCCATCCATCCCTTCCTCCCCTCTCCCTCCATATGAATCTGTCCCACTTGTGTGTTCCAGGTTTGCTTGAGGTGTTCGCAACCAACATCTAAGCAGCCTTCGCCAGCCAACTCTCCATCTCGTTCCCCCCCAATCTAGACGAACCAGCACTTGCTCTCCCCTTCCCCACCCCTCTCCCCCTCTCTTCCCACTCCCATCTCCTCTTTTCCCTCTGCCATCTCCACTATTACCCCGTTCCCGGACCCCCCTCTCTTTCCCCAGGTGAATCTGCTGCTGTGGCCGCGCTTCAAGCTGGTGTTCGACCTCCACTTGGGCAGCCTGCGCCAGGCCAACCCGCGCGCCCTCTGGGACCAGGACGTGCACCCGCACTACGTGGCGCGGCGCTACGCCGAGTTTGCCGCCTCCCTCATGACTCTGAGCACGGGGCAGGGCGACGGGCAGCTGGAGATGAACCTTCCCTCTCCCATATCTTCTCTTACCCACTTCCCCCCCCACACCACACCCCCCTTCTCCCCCAGGTGAATCTGCTGCTGTGGCCGCGCTTCAAGCTGGTGTTCGACCTCCATCTAGCCAGCCTGCGCCAGGCCAACCCGCGCGCCCTCTGGGACCAGGACGTGCACCCGCACTACGTGGCGCGGCGCTACGCCGAGTTTGCCGCGTCGCTCATGAATCTCAGCACGGGGCAGGGCGACGGGCAGCTGGAGATGAATTTGGACCGGCTGAGGAGCGCTGTGGACCATCTGCTGGTGGAGATATCGAGGCTCTTCCCCAAGCCCAAGCAGCGCACCGTGTTTCTCATCAACAACTACGACCTCATTCTGGCCGTGCTCAAGGTGCGAAACATCCTTCCTTGCAAGCTAGCCTATCCTGGGCTGCCTTAAAGGACAAGGTATGGACCTCCCTGTTAGCCTGGGTTCGGAGCGGCTGAGGAGCGAGGAGCACGGGGCAGGGCGACGGGCAGCTGGAGATGAATCTGGACCGGCTGAGGAGCGCCGTGGACCACCTCCTGGTGGAGTGGAGATCTCCCGGCTCTTCCCCAAGCCTAAGCAGCGCACCGTGTTTCTCATCAACAACTACGACCTCATTCTCGCCGTGCTCAAGGTGCATCTCCGTACCTCCTCTCTAGCCTGGGGATGGCAGGCACAGGACTTCCGACACCTCCTGGTGGAGATCTCGAGGCTCTTCCCCAAGCCCAAGCAGTGCACCGTGTTCCTCATCAACGACTACGACCTCATCCTCGCTGTGCTCAAGGTATGTATGCACTCAGCCTGGGATTGGACTGGCTCAGGATGGTCTCAGGACAGGCTCCATTGGCTGGTGGGAGGATATACGGTGGGTGGTGAGGTGGGGTTTCCGCCACGTCCCTCATGACGCTGAGCGACGGGGCAGGGCGACGGGCAGCTGGAGATGAATCTGGACCGGCTGAGGAGCGCTGTGGATCATCTGCTGGTGGAGATATCTCGCCTCTTCCCCAAGCCCAAGCAGCGCACTGTGTTCCTCATCAACAACTACGACCTCATCCTGGCTGTGCTGAAGGTAGGTAGCTCTTATGAACGTTGATCTGGACAGGCTGAGGAGTGGATCGTGTCATGGTAGAGCTTTTGAGGCTGTTTCTGAAAACTTGTTTTCCTTTCGTTCCTTTCACTGCTCGTGTGTGTGTGGCACAGGAGGCGGGGTTGGAGGAGGGCAAGACTCAGCGCCACTTTGCAGAGCTGCTCAGCTCCTTCTCCACCATCTTCGTGGTAAGGGGCTGGGCTGGGCGCAGCTGGGCTGGGCGCAGCTGGGTTGGGCTGAGAGCACTGTGTGCCTTCCTGTGGGCCTGTGGTGCACCTTCCTCTCGACTGGTGCTTCTCAGATTTCCAGCTGGTTCTTCAGAATTCTCGCAAGTGATTATTTCTCCACTATCTTCGTGGTGTGGGGTTGACCACAGCACAGCACACACAGAATGATATGCTTTCCTCTCAATTCGTGTGATTCTCAGCTTGCTGGTTGATTAGCCATCCACCCTTTCTTTCCACGATACCTGTTCAAATGCGGCACTTTTTTCTGCTGATTCTTTGTTGCCTCCCCTGCACAACACTTGGCAGGAGGAGGAGCTACACGAGTACTTCAGGGGACTTGTTGACTTTGTCAAGAAGAGAACAGGTGAGCTGCACTCTGTGTGTGCGTGTATTTGTGTCCGTGCACCACTGAGTGTGGATGCGTGCATGCTTGCCCTTGCATTCACAACGAGAGGATTATCCTCCTCCCCTCCCCTCCACCCCACCCCTGTACCCCCACGCGCACACATGTAACAGGCACAGGCGATGAAACAGCAGATGCAGTGGCGGCGCGCAGCAGCACCGGCAGCACGGCAGGGCGACGGGTGGATGCGGCTCCCATCACAGCCAAGGAGGTGGAACCGCACCTCAAGGACTTTGCTGTTAGATGGAAGGTGAGGGGGAGGAGAGAGTGCATGAGGAATGGAAAAAGTGGCATTTGACTTTATAACAATGCTTCGCTCACGCACGCACATCACAGCGGTGGTGGAATTCCAACCCCACCTCAAGGACTCTGCTGTCCGATGGAAGGTGAGGGGGAGGAGAGAGGTGGAAGCATGTAGCAGGAGCTGTAATCACCAACTTCAGCATGTGCTGGAAGAGTGCAGTTATCACATTACTGCCCCCACCCTAATCCTGCAGTCCACCATTTACCGTTGACCTGATCCACAAGGGCATTATCACCGACCTGAGCATGTGTTAAAACATCGATGTGATTACCCCCCTTCCTTATCCCCCACATGCAGGCCACCATAGATTTGATTCACAAGGATATAATCACCAACTTCAGCAACTTTGTATGCGGCATGGACATCCTGAGAGCCGCTCTCACCCAGCTGCTGCTCTACTACACGCGCCTCTCCGACTGCCTCAAGGTGTGTGTCGTGGAAGCATCTTTGCTGCATGAAAGCACACTACTCGTTCTAAATTGAATGCTCCGTTTCTGTACGCATCACAATCCTAAAGCGGCACTCACCCAGCTGCTGCTCTACTACCTATGCCGCTCTGACTGTCTCAAGGTGTGTTTCAAGTGACTTGATGGCTGTGTGTGCCCACCATTGTTTTGAAAGCCCTTTGATGCGGCTGAGCCGGTTAACTGGCAGTTGTCGACAATGCCTGTTGAACATGTTGTTGCTCATGTCTTACATCTGCATTGTCCTTATCCACACATGTATGTCGTTTTTTTCTGTATGTTATTGACCTTCCTCCTCCCCTCCTTATGTGCCAACTGTGACTGCAGCGAGTGGAGGGAGGTGCCTCACTAATGAAGGATGTGGTGTCCATACCATCGATCATGTACGAGATCCGCAAGTACAGCCTCACGTTCTAATAGCCCATCTTGGCCTCTCGCGATATAACCACCTGCAAATGGCTGGCAAGTCAACGATGGTTTCTGTACCATCTCCATCTACATGTAACATCCCGTACCCCCTATAATGCAACCCAACGTAGCCTACAGGTACCCAAATATATATGTGTACACTAACAGTTACAAACAACCGAGGTTCCTCTAATGTGGAGGGCAAATTTTATCCATCTGCGATGTAGTATCTTTGGCCTTCCAGCCTCCGCAGTGAGGATAAGGAAGGACTAGCTGACTCTCCTACCTGTCAGTTGTGACTGGATGTTGTACATTTGCTGAAGTATATTTCTCACCAACACAAATATAAGTATGGCAAGGCTCTACATCCAATAATACATGTTTGATTCGGCTTAGGAATATTATAAAATGAAGGGAGCTGCTTGTAGATGAGGAGGTGTCCCAACTGCCAGTGGTAACTGATCAGCACGCGATGCCGCTAACCGACTGGGAAAGTGCAAAGCGTGAAGAAGGCGTGAGCGAAGCGTGGGAAACAGCGGGATAATCTAGGCGTGAGAAGGAGCTCCCAAAGCCTGTCGTTTTGTTTGCCAGTTCTGCAGCATGTCTGAAGTGGGATGGGAGGTTATGACGGGTTTTGACGGGAGTGGACGGATCTCGTTTGGGTGTTTTCCCGAGAGGTCTACGTTCAAAGGGCCCTCGACACCTCGACACCCAGCCTCGACACCCCCGATGTCTTGGAGATGTCGAGGGATGCCGAAAGTGCGTCTGGGCAGGAAAACGGGCATAAAACGGGGAATTCAGCGAATAGAAGCGACCACTGTCAGATTTGGGGCACTTCTCTCACTGCATATCACGTTTAGGGTACACGCACCTGGTTTTCCGCATGTTGGAGGTCACAAAAGCGCGGAGCGTGACATCTCAGGCCGGACATCCGTCGATTCGCCGGATAATGAGGAACGTAAGCTCTATCTGGAACAGATGTGCTTCACATCACATCAGCTCACAGCTCACTGGCACTGCTAGTGCTGGTGGGGGCTGTGTTGCTGGAGTGTGAAATGACCAATTTTGAACCGAAATTGGACCTCATTCGGAGCCTTCTGGGCTTGATAAATGAGTGCAGCTTTCCTGTTGCTGATGGGGCTGTGCTGCAAGTGACCATCAGTGTTAATTCACCCCATTCACAAGGAGATTCCGTCACATCATTTCACTGGCACAGCTAGCTGTTGCTGGTGGGTCTGTGTGTGCTACTGGTGAGGTTTGCAGTCTACGAGTGAGAATTGACTTGGATCGAGTGGTTGACATCTGCTCATTGGCACCAGCTGCTATTTGTGGATCTATTGACCAAGAGCGAACGATTTGACTAGATCCGTCCTGTGCCGCTGGAGTACACCTAGAGAAGACTGTCCTACGTCGGACCCGAAACACTCTCTTAGAGCAGGATGTCGTAGGTCGGACCTGGTACCCCCTACCAGAGGAACTCTTCTATGCCGCTGAAACACTCTTCATAGATCAGATTGTCCTACGTTGGAATCCAATCACTCAACTATTTTGTTGAGAGGTATGGATCAGCAGTCCAGCTCCGTTAGAGGAGGCAGCAGGGGGCGAGGCCGGAAACATGGCGGACGGGGAAACTTAGGAGGCAGAGGAGGGCGGCAGTCTGATAATCAGAATCAGAATCAGAATCAAAGTCAAAATCAGAATCAGAATCAGAAGCAGAATCAGAATCAGAATCAAAGTCAAAATCAGAATCAGAATCCGAAGCAGAAGCAGAATCAGAATCAGAATCAGAATCAGAAGCAGAAGCAGAATCAGAATCAGAATCAGAATCAAAAGCGAAATCAAAATCAGAATCAGAATCAGAATCATGGCGGAGGTCGCGGACGCGGTGGGAGTGAGAGAGGAAGGGGAGGACGAGGAGGAGGAGTCGGGAGAGGAGGGAGAGGATTAGAAGGGAGAGGAGGAGGAGAAGGGAGAGGATGGAGAGGTTTAGAAGGGAGAGGAGGAGGAGAAGGGAGAGGAGGGAGAGGATTAGAAGGGAGAGGAGGAGGAGAAGGGAGAGGAGGAGGGAGAGGAGTAGAAGGGGGAGGAGGAGGGAGAGGAGGGGGAGGAGGAGGAGGGAGAGGAGGAGGGGAAGGAGGAGGAGGAAGAGGAGGATGGGGAGGAAGAGGAGGGGGAGGAGGAAGAGGAGGGGGAGGAGGAGGAAGAGGAAGAGGAGGACGAGGAGGGACGTCCAGTTTAGACGGTCAGGGGATAAAGGGCCCTGACCTACGGTCCTTCCTGCTGAGTGACAAGGATTTCGTGAATCAGTCTCACATGAAAGATTTCGTTAACGCAATGGAAGCTCATGATGTCTCAGGTACTACCATGTTTTCCAACCTTCCTATGGTGACAAATTTCCCTTCGGAAAGTGCTGACAGTGCTATTCTCAACTTGTCAGTCAATGATACTGATGTCACGAGATCTATTGGTATTCCATTCCAACCGTTTCTGCAGATCTGGTAATTGTGCTCGCGGACGACAAGCTCTTTGGCAGAAAGAAGGTGGTGAGCATCTGCCGGGAGGCCGTGGCTTGCGGTCCTTCAAGATCCGTGTCCGCTGGGAATCACAGCCGATTCGTTTCCTTCCAGGGCGTGATTTTACCCATGCTCAGGGTCATCTGTCAGGTAACGTCTCGCACGTAAACTTATTTATTATACTCTTTTGTGCCCTAATTTAATCTTGATACTCTGTTGTGCCCTAAACCCTGCTCATGTTGTTCTGTTTCTTGCATTTAAATCTCGGCAGCCCGAATTTTTCAATAACCCGGCATCGAGTAAAGTCAACGTTACCCTAGCAGCAATCGTTGAGGTGGAAGGACTTCAAGAGTACCTCCTCGGCTGCATGCGCCTCCTTACCCAACGTGGAATGATCCGCGATTCGTCAAGACATGACGACAATATCAACGACTGGGACACGGCATTCCACGTCATCATCGGCTTCTTCAACCTCACCATGGATCGATTTTATTCCCTCTTCAACGCGGCACAAGCCAGCGCAGACATGCAGGAGCTGGAAGGCATGCTTGAGAAGTGGCAAAAGAAGAAGCCGGTGTTTGACGGCAAGTACCACAGCATTCAATCGGTGATCTACAGGCTGCGGAAGTCGCTGGACAGGCGGCAGCATAGTGAGCGACAGCGGCAGAGGATGGAGGAAGGGCAGCTGCTGCATAGCGAGTTCTTCCCTCAAGGTACGTGCGTGCTGTGCAAGGAGCTGCTGTCTCTATCTATTCCGGCTGATGTCAAACTTTTCAGATTTCCATCTACTGTCAAGTCAATGACACAAATGAACGCGCGCTACTGTTGTGATGTGAACCATGTGTAGGTCAGCGCCTGACCAGCATGCAGGATGTGGATGGTCCGGGCGAGCTCAGCTTCGATGGCCGCCCCCGGCATGACAATGACCACCTTGAAATCTCAGCCGTAAGATGCTCTGATGTAATTGACATGGCAATCGTTCTAGATCATGTTCTCCACAAGGGATGTGGATGGTCCGGGCGAGCTCAGCTTTGATGGCCGCCCCCGGCATGACAACGACCACCTTGAAATCTCAGCCGTAAGATGCTGTTCATCTTCTGATGTACGTGACATGGCAATCATTACTGCTGTTGCCTGATACCTGACTCCTGTCTTGATAATTCTCGCTCCTGAGACCAGAATCTTTCTGTCTTGATTGTCCCCGTTCCGAACGTTCCGAAGAGGAGACCAGACTCTTCCTGTCCTATTATCGCCCTCGTTTGATCTCAGATCTCAGTGGCGCCAACGATGGAGGAAGTGCTGTGCAAGGCGTCGCTGTACCTGCCGCACAACCACCCCAACGAGCTGCACCACCTGCCAGCGGGCTCCGTAGCCCGCCACGTGGACATCCACTTCCGCCTGCTGCGCCACGACCTCATCGCCCCCCTCTGGAGCAAGGCGCTCTTCCTCCTCCACCACCTCAACCACGAATCCTCCCGGGATGCTCGTGGCGGGGGGAGTAGCAACAGGAACAGCGGCGGCGGCGGTGGTGGTGGTGGTGGTGGCAGAGGCGGCAGCAGAGACGAGGCGATGGGGCTGTTGAGGGCGGACAGGGAGTTGGTGCGGGGTCTGACGGAGGATATGAAGGGCGTGGTGGGGTTTTCGTCAGAGGACATGGACGTGTTTTTGCTCAGGGACGTGCGTGTGCTGGGTATTGACACGGACAGGCGCAGCGGCGTGCACTTTCTAGTTGACTTTTTGGAGCCTCCCATGCCGCGGGGCCGGCATTCTCGTAGCAGCAGGTAAGCCAAGCTTATTCGCACTTAATCCCGAGCTTATTTGCACTTGATGGCGACTTTTGTCATACGCATGCGTCCGTCTTGGTTGGTTCTTTCCTGCCAGCCAACTGTTCATGATAATTTACATCCGCCTAACCTCTTTCTCGCGTCCTCCTTGTGTTTCGTTGTGTTTCGTTGCAGGGTGGAGTTCTGGGAGAACACTCGGAGGCTGCAGAACGGCTCCCTGGTCTGCCTGTGGATCCGAGACATTCAGTCCGGTCATACTCACACTCACACTCACACTCACAGTCACACGCAGCAACAGCTGCAGCAACAGCAAATCCCCCCTCCGAGGGACACTCACGCTTCAGCGAGCGACTCTTCCTCCCACCGGCTCATCTTCGCCACCATCACAGCCCGCGACACATGGAGGCTTGCCACTGCCAGGCCGCAGATCGGCGTTCAGCCGTGCGGGGGCAATGGGTTCAGTTCAGACCTGCTGGGGCTGATAGCTCAGGACGGCAATGGGGGGAGTGGCGGGAGGATGCAGGTGGTGATGCTGGAAGCGGCTGGAAGCTTTTTCGCGTATGAGCCGATTCTGAAGGCGCTGCAGAGCATCACTGACACGTCGCTTCCCTTCTCTGAGTACATCTGTGGAGCACCTGGTGGAGCACCTGGTGGAGCACCTGGTGGAGCACCTGGTGGAGCACCTGGTGGGACACCTGGGAGGGCACCTGGAGCGTATAAGCTGCCTGCGTACATTAAGGGGGGCATGATGTAAGTGGGAAGGGGAGGGTCAAGGGGGGTCTGCAATGTGACGTTGGAGGAGAGGGGCTAAATGAGAGGGAGAGAGGTTGGGGTGGTCGGTCAGAGGATTCTTGCATGTGTACAGTTTTTAGCATTCTTGCAACATTCTTGCATGCGTAACATTCTTGCAACAATGGCATGTTTTTTTCAGCATTTCAGGACTATTATCATGAGTTCTCATTGTTTTCCGAACTCATCTACCATCAGCAAGGCAGTGTTTTAAATCCTCACCTCCTTCTCTCATCGAGAGCAAGCCTCCGCGCATGTGTATGTGTGTGTGTGCCTGTGCTGTGTGTTCCCTTGCATGCAGCTACGACTTGAGCCTGCTGCTCAAGACCAAGGCACCCTCCTCCGCCTCCCAGCAGCCACAGACTACTCCAGAGGACGAGTTCGCCATCAGGAACGTGATGATCTCCAGGCCCACGGCCTTCCCCTTCCCCATTAAGACTATACCTCCGTGTGTGCCTGTGCTGTGTGACCCTTTGCTTGCAGGTACGATTTGAGCCTACTGCTCAAGACCAAGGCACCCTCATCCTCCTCCTCCCAGCAGCCACAGACTGATTCAGAGGACGAGTTCGCCGTCAGGAACGTGATGATCTCCAGCCCTGCGGCCTTCCCCGTGGATGCTCTCCTGCGCTGCACGTCGCTGGACGAGCCCCAGACTACGGCACTCCAGGCTGCCCTCACTCAGGAGTTCGCGCTGCTGCAGGGCCCACCAGGAACCGGCAAGGTGGGTTGTGTGAGCGCGTGAGTGGTGGTGAGGCAGCTGAAATTTGGGTGAATGTAGAGGCTGACGAGCTGTGACATTTAGTTGGGGAGGCTAAGAAGTGTCGCTAGACCAGCCCCAAGCTGTGGCACTCCAGGCTGCCCTCACTCAGGAGTTCGCACTGCTGCAGGGCCCACCAGGTGTTAGAACTTAGGCTTAGAAGCGATGCATTAGTAATGAGCTTGAAGCTCTTTAAGTACATCCAAGAAGGGTAGGGAATGGATGGGGAAGGGAATCGGGGGCAATCCCTAGGGATTGGGGGTAATCCCAAGGCAATCTCCAATTGGTGGGTTGGAGATTGCTTGGAGATTACATTTGGGTTTGGTTGGGATGTAGGTGTACACCCAACCAAACACAATGTGCAAACTACACTACTCTAGGATATAGAAAATACAAAGTACAAAGTGTGAGATTGAAGGCTAACACTAACACCCCCCCATAGACATCAATCGAACTCAGGGCAGAGAGGGTGGAGCACCGAGCCCCATGGCGCCAAGGAGACGGTGGTGGGGAACTTTCCCAAGGGGCTTGGTGAACAGATCAGCCAGGTTGCAGTCAGATGCAACGTACTCCACTTTCAACTGCTCCTGCTGGACAAGGTCACGGATGAAGAAGTGCCGGAGTTCAATATGCTTGGTGCGGGTGTGGTACACAGGGTCTTGAGAGATGTGGATGGTACTCTGGTTGTCACACCAAAGGGTGGGGGCGGACTGCGGGAAACCAAGCTCCTGGAGCAGGAAGGTGAGCCAACGGGCTTCCTGAGCAGCCATGGTGCCTGCGTAGAGCTCTGCCTCACAGGAGGAGAGGGAGACTGCAGACGACCTGGTGGAGCGCCAACTGACAAGTCCGCTCCCAAGGGTGAAGCAGTACCCCTGAGAGGAGCGTCGGTCGGTCTGGTCATCAGCCCAGGAGGAGTCGGTGTAACCTTCCAGGCGAGGAGGGGAGAGCCCACCGAGTGTGAGAACGTGAGACTTGGTGCCCTGAAGATAGCGCAGCACCCGCTTCGCCGCCTTCCAGTGAAGATCAGTGAAGCGTCCAGGGGCCACGTAGCGAGAGAGGACACTGACAGGGTAGGCCAAGTTTGGTCGGGTGCACATCATGGCGTACATGAGGGACCCAACAAGCTCCGGGTACGGCTCAGAGCAGGCCTCTGGTGTGGGTACAGCTGGAGCTGTGAGGAGGTGTTGCAGCGGCAGCGGTGTGGCAACAGGTGTGCACAGCTCCATCTCAAACCGCTTGAGCACATTGTCGATGTAGAACTCTTGGGAGAGTGAAATGGTGCGAGCCTGGCGATCACGAGTGATCTCCATCCCCAGGTAGTGCTTGAGGTCACCGAGGTCTTTCATCTGGAGGGCCTTGCTCAGGGCTGCCTGGACAGAGGTCATCTGGGCCGAGTCCTTGGCAACGAGGATGAAATCATCCACGTAGACCAGGATGTAGAATGGCTCAGAATGACGGCGGATGAAGAGAGTCGGGTCAGCAGTTGAAGGGTGGAAGTCCAGGGAGAGGAGGACTTCTTTCACCTTGTTGTGCCATTCGCGAGGGGCTTGCTTAAGGCCGTAGACGGGGCGATTCAGCTTCCAGACAGTGTTGGGAGGGAATTCTCCTGAGAAACCTTCTGGTCTGTCCATGAACACTGTCTCCTTGAGACGTCCTTGTAGGAAGGCGGATGAGGCATCCATAGATTTGATCTCAAAGTCTTCTCGAGCTGCGACATCCATGAGCGTACGAATGGTGGGAGGTTTGGATGTGGGGGAGAAGGTTAGGAAGAAGTCGCAGTACTGCTGCTGGGTGAAGCCCTTAGCTACGTAACGCGCTTTGAACACTGGGGCCTCGTCTGGGAGCTGTTTTACACGGAACAACCACTTGCCCCCGACGATGTTGACTCCTGGAGGTGGAGTCTCGTCGTCGAAGGAGTGGTTGCGGGTGAATGCTGCAATCTCCGCTTCCATGGCAGCATGCCATTCGGCAGCATGAGGGCCTGAGAGAGCCTCTTGGACGGTGAGAGGGATAGGGATGGTCGGGTTCTCCGCGAAGTTGAGGGAGGGTGAGTCAGTGATGTCGGGGAAGATGTGCGAGAGCTGAGGAATGACTGCATGAAGATCACACAGCTCCTCATGCCTGTCTTCCAGGAGGGTAGAGGGCACATCCCCCCCAGCAGGAGGAGGCGGTGTGATCGCCGTGTACCGAAGAACCAGCGCTAGTGGAAGAGCAGCGCCATGCGAACGAGTGCCATGAGCCACCGGAGAAGAGGGTGGGGCAGGCGGAGTCGAGGGGGTGGACTTAGGAGGCTTGGGCGGGGGAATGGGCCGCCGGCGGTACGTGATCAGCTCGGGCGACTGTGGGAGAGCGGGTTCCTCTGTGGTGGGGGGAACCGGGGGAGGAGGTGGGGCCGGAGGGTGGGACCGCCGATGGAGGTAGCTGCACAGTCGGCGGAGTGGGAAGTGAGGGGGATGGAGGAGCAGCTGCCGAGGACACCGGTGAGGGCGGGTCAGAGACCTCAGAGGGGGACGGTGCGGTGGCAGGAGGGGTAGGAGGTGAAGAGGCCGGAGCAGGCGGGAGGTCAGGAGGCGCATCAAAGTCTGCCCACACGAGGGAGGGTGGATCAGGGAGAGGGTCCCGTCCCGAGGTGGAGTAGAATGGGTGGGTCTCATCAAAGACAACGTCGCGGCTCCGGACCAATTGTTGAGTGGAGGGATTGAGGAAGAGGTAGTCAGGAGAGTCGGCATTGTGCCCGAGGTAGATGCACGTCTGGGTCTTGGGACTGAGCTTGCCGCCGTTCTGCCGTCGAGCCTGAGGGTTGAGGAGGACATAGGCGGTGCACCCCCAAACGCGAAGAGAGCGAGCAGTGGGCGTTTTTCCGAGCCAGAGTGTGGTTGGAGTGGTGTCGGGAAGATGCGGGTGGGGGTAAAGGTTGTAGAGGAGGGCGGCGTGGTAGAGAGCGTACCCCCAGAGGGAGTGCGGAGCGTTGGAGTGGCTGAGGAGGCACCGAGTGATCTGCACCAGGGTGTGGTTGCGACTCTCAGCTATGCCGTTCTGCTGCGGGCTGTCAGGGAGGGTGAAGTTTTGCTGGATGCCTTCTGAGGAGCAGAAGGCTTTGAGCTTGTCGTTGCAAAACTCACCACCACCATCTGAGTGGAGGCGCTTGACTTTGCGGTCAAAGGCGGTCTGTGCCTGTTTAACCCACGCCATGAGGACCTCTGGAACCGCAGCCTTAGTGTGGAGGAGGTGAACAGAGACGTAGCGAGAGTGGTCATCGACGATAACAAGGAAGTAGCGATAACCACCTCGTGCGGGAACAGGGGCAGGGCCCCAGACGTCCAGGTGTACCAGGTCCAGTGGTCCTGCTGCGACAGAGGGTGAGGCCGGGTGGGGCTGTTGACGCAGTTTGCTCTTGGTGCAGTCAAGGCACGTGGGAGCGGGGGAGTCTGGTGGTGGAGGAAGTGAGGCTGGCAGGCCGAGTAGAAGTTTCTTGGAGGCCATGTCAGCAAGTGTGCGGAAGTTTGGGTGCCCGAGCCGATGGTGGTAGAGTATGGTCGGGTTGGAGAAACTGCGGCACGAGCATGGTGAGGTGGTCGCCGCTGTTTGGGTGGTTGACACCTGTGGGATGGGTACTTGCAGCGTGTAAAGGCCGTTGCTGTTGAGGGTGAAACGAGTCAAGACCTTGTTGGTGAGTGGGTCGAGGATGTCACCATAGTTCTCGTTCTCCCAGAAGATGGTGCGTAGCCCAGCTTCCTGAATTTCCGTTTGGGCCACGAGATTGTGGCGGAGTGAAGGCACGCACATTCCAGTGACAGTGCCGGAAGGGAAGGCGGGGCACGGGACTGTGGATGAACCCTTGGCATGAGTGGTGAAGCTTGAGTCAGCTCCTAGGAGAGGGATGGGTGTTGCGTAGGGTTTGAAGGAGAGTGTCTCCTTGAGTACAGTATGTGTGGCGCCGCTGTCGAGTGTGAACTCTATGTATTGTGGTGCTTGTGATGAGCCGAGGTACTGGGAGGAAGCTTCATTAATCATGGCAGTGCCAGGGAACAACAGGTTGATACGGACATCAGCAGGAGTACTATCACTAGCACTGGCACTAGCCGAAGCGGGGTCCTGGACCTCAACCAGGTTGGCCTTACGCGCACGCATCCAGTTCGGTGGCCTCTTGTCTATGCCGTGGATGGCGTACCATTCGTCGTCCTTCTTCTTGAAGCACGTAGCAAGGGGGTGGTTAGTGCCACCACACACTTGTCCCTTGCGGTTGCCATACTTGACGACGTAGGTGCACGGTGGGAAGCGATTGCGCTGGAGGGGCGCCGAGGCAAGGGCCGATGCGACACTGGCTTGAGGCATGGGAGCACGGATGGCGTAAGCCTTGGCCTGAGCCGTGGAGTCTTTCTCGGCAGAGAGGAGTGCGGTGGAGACCTTGGCAAAAGTGAGGTCTTCCGCAGTCAGCGTGAGGAGCATCTTCCTTGTGATTTCGTAGGCTGTGGTGAGACCAACGAGAAGAGCTGCTGCAGGGGCCTGTTCGGGGAAGACTATACCCAGCTCCTTGAGTTCGCCATGAATGGTCTGAACCTTGGCAATGTAGTCGGCCATTCCCGAGCAATCCTCAAGGCGGACCTGGAACATGCTGGGGATGAGGATGGCAACTCCGACTGCAGTCTTGTTCATGAACCGATCCTGGAGGTACTTCCAGATGGCGTTGGAGGTAGGGTAGTTATGGAACGTGTTGACAAGTTCTGGAGGGGTGGAGGCGATGAAGACGCTGATAATAGTAGCATCGGCCTTCTCCCACTTCCGGTACTTCTCAACAGCTTCCTCATATGCCATTGTCTCAGCCTCACTAGCGGATTCGGTCGGCTCACGAGGGGGAAGGGGCTGTTTTCCCTTGCCACGGTTGAGGAGGACATCCTTGAGGTCCAATCCCTGCACGTCACGGCTCAGTAGGTGCTTGTCAACCCCATAGCTCCATGCCTTGAAGTTGGAGCTAGAGCCATCGGCTTCAAGACGGAGTGGGGTGATGGGGTTGGCCATGGTGGACGCGGTGAAGGCCATGCTGGAGATCCCTTGGTGTCTCGCGCGAAGCGCCGCGCTTAAGTCACCGATAGGAAATATCGTCAATGTCGACCGCATCGGGATGCCTCGTAGAAGGAATTTCTAGGCCGCCAAAACTAGGTGAAATCGGCCGACTACCGTAGATCTAACCCTAATCCCCCCCACACACCACCCTCAGCTTCGCGGCTACGCTGCTGCACGGCTTCGCGGCTACTCTGCTGCTCGGCTGCGCTGCTGCACTGCTGCTCGGCTGCGGGAAAAGGGGAACGGGGGTAGAAGTGCAGATGCGGGGCGACGGGCGACGGCCTGACGAGAAGTTGCGGGGCGACGGGCGGCGGCCCGACGAGAAGCTGCGGGGCGACGGGCGGCGGCCCGACGAGAAGCTGCGTGGCGACGGGCGGCGGCCCGAAGAGAAGCTGCGGGGCGACGGGCGGCGGCCCGACGAGAAGCTGCGTGGCGACGGGCGACGGCCCGACGAGAAGAGGTGACGCGGTGACGAAATTGAGAGATGACGAAAAAGGAATCGATAAGTTAGAGCGACGTCGACGAGCGTACCATAGAAATTGAAGGCGTCGTCGAAGTTGACGGGTAAGGGGTGCGGGAGAATTTCTGCCTACGAATGTCGCGAATCGACGGCGACGAGATTGAAGGAGGCTATGCCGAGCTTTGCGGGAAGAACATCCGCGTAGATAGGAGGATCACGATCCGCATGTGCGGAGGTATGGCTCTGATACCATGTTAGAACTTAGGCTTAGAAGCGATGCATTAGTAATGAGCTTGAAGCTCTTTAAGTACATCCAAGAAGGGTAGGGAATGGATGGGGAAGGGAATCGGGGGCAATCCCTAGGGATTGGGGGTAATCCCAAGGCAATCTCCAATTGGTGGGTTGGAGATTGCTTGGAGATTACATTTGGGTTTGGTTGGGATGTAGGTGTACACCCAACCAAACACAATGTGCAAACTACACTACTCTAGGATATAGAAAATACAAAGTACAAAGTGTGAGATTGAAGGCTAACACTAACACCAGGAACCGGCAAGGTGGGTGTGTTGAAGAAGAAGACCTGTGCCTCTCTCAAATGCTCCTTTGTATTTTTTAGGCCACAGGTGCAAGCCGGGAACTCGTAAGATGCGGGCGGCTTCAAGGGAGCTTCTTCTACCCTTGCCCGAAGCTGTGGCACTCCCGTTACCCCCCTGCATCTTTTCCAGCTTTTTGCCCTTGCTCTGAGATGTTCTTGTCTATTTTAAACCCGTTTTGACGTTCTATGCAGGTTTTACACAAAGCCTTCATTGCTATGGTGCTGTCTAACTGACTGGGGTCTGTGTGTGTGTGTGTGGGTGTGTGTGTGTGTGTGTGTGTGTATTCACATGGCAGACGTTTGTGGGGATAAAGCTTGTGGAGCTTCTGCTGAGCAATGCTCTCAAGAAGAGCAGTTCGTTAGGACTGTTTGCTCGGGGCAGGGAGGTGGCAAGTTCTGCGGGGCCCATCCTGTGCGTGTGCTTCACCAACCACGCTCTGGATCAGTTTCTGGAAGGCCTCATCGCCAGCGGCATCAAGAACGTGAGTTTAGAGGGGTTGTCGTGTTGGGCTGGGCGGGCTGTGAGTCCCAGCCCTTCAGCGTGTCTTATTCTATGTGTGTGCTTCACCAACCACGCTCTAGATCAGTTCCTGGAAGGCCTCATCGCCAGTGGCATCAAGAAGAGTGCAGCAGCTATACCACAGCTGCCAGATCTGATTGCGTCCCTCCTGCAAGTCCCATCCTGGGACTCATTGCCAGTAGCACCACGAACGTGAGTTTAGTAGACTGAGGGTCCCACAGCTTCTCTACTGGAATTTATGTGTGTATGTTACGGCCCTTGCTGTAAGATGGGTTCTGTGGCTCGTTGGTAGGTCATTGGCAGGCTGCTTTCTTAGACAACCCGTTGCCTCTGCATGCAATGGCTTTTGTCTGGTAGTATGGCCGTGGTTCTCACGGTGTGCTTCTTTCCGCGTGGTTTATTCTGTGTGGTTCTCATCTCACGATGGCCGTGGTTCTCACGGTGTGCTTCGTTCCCGCGTGTCACGATGGCCGTGCCATTCCTGATAACAGGTGGTGCGCGTTGGAGGACGGAGCAAGTCAGAGATTCTGCAAGAGTACAACCTTCGCGAGATCATTCTAAACTCTGGTCCACAGCGCAGCAAAAGTGAGCACCACAGCACAGCACAGCCCCGCAGATTCTTCCCAACCCAACCACTTACTTGCATTCCGAGCCTGAGATGGATGTTTTGCGTTTTGGAACGTTCTTTTCAGTGAGTTTTTCAGTGTTGGAAATTCATGTGTGGGGAGGAGCGTACAGAGATTGAGAGAAATCTTGTGTTGTGTGAGAGCCATGTACACAGGCAGGGGAGCTACAAGGTGGGCAGCAGCAAGCTGGCTGGGGTAGAGCTGGTTGGTGATCAGATGAGCACGTGCCCAAGCCCGGGGACAACTCGACACGTGTTCCAAACTCGAGCTTTTGTAAACCCAAAGCGGTGTTGTGCCTGTGTGTGTGTGTGGGTGTGTGTCTATACTGTGCAGCACACAGGGAATCGAACTATGAGGTGAAAGTCAAGCTGGGCGAGGTGGAGGAGGTGATAGGCAGGTGCCTGTCTTGAATCTCAAGCTGTTTTACGTGTGTGTGCGTGCATGCGGTTCTCTGTGTGTGCGTGTGTGAGCAGCATACAGGCAATCGAACTATGAGGTGAAAGTCATGCTGGGCGAGGTGGAGGAGGTGATAGGCAGGTGCCTGTCTTGAATCTCAAGCTGTTTTACGTGTGTGTGCGTGCATGTGGTTCTCTGTGTGTGCGTGTGTGAGCAGCGTACAGGCAATCGAACTATGAGGTGAAAGTCAAGCTGGGCGAGGTGGAGGAGGTGATAGGCAGGTATAGTGACGCCCTGCAACAGCGCAGCGACAACGTGGCGGCTGTGGCTTGGCGCTCCATAGCCCCCCACCTCATGGCCAACCACCCTGTTTTCTTCCACGCGCTCGTCCCCACCAGCAAGGCAGATGCCAATGGTTTTAAGGTAAATGGGCTAGTGGGTGGGTGGGTGGGTGGGTGCGTGGGGGGGCAAGGGTGTGTGCATGTATTTTACGTTGATTCAATGCGCCTCATGGCTGTCCA